CCCAACGAGTTTTTTAAATGAAACACAGTATCTCTATCTATAATATGTATATATATATATATATCAACAAAAATATCAATATAATATATCTTGGTGGGTTGGTCTCTCTAATTACTTTATTAATGCTTTTGGATAAAAGACACACATAGCATCACATAAAACAAACGCATGAATCATGGTCCCTAAAGGCCCATCATGATTTATAACAATATAAATTGGTAGGTGGGTGTTTTTCTGTGTGTATATTATTCCTCCATATGGTTTCCCCATTGAACCAGCAAACTCTCCCGCTCTCTACACTCCAAGTACACATCACATGAAAGTGGAAGACCACCATAAACTTGGCAAGATGATCCTTCGACACAGTAATATATATTAATTTGGTCTTTCATGGATGCGACTGAACGAAACCACCTTAGCTCCAACACCTTGAACGCTTCTTAGTTCGGTTTCACTTTGTCTTTTCTCATGTGTTGAATTTGATTTAATTGGTTCACTGGTCTTACATCGGTATGTTCATTCATGTTCATTCTCACCTTGTTTCGTTGTGGTCGGGTTCACAACCTACTCAATACCTGGCCTATGCCAATGGGGTTGAATAGAACGATACACCGTCGTACAGTGCGCATGTAAAGGAAATGGGCATCCAAGGGGCCATTCCATCCACATCCATGATTAGTTCAAGGAGTGTCCCTATCTATCTTTCTTTCTTTCTGTCTGTCTGTCTGTCTGTCTATCTATCTATCTATCTATCTATCTTTCTCTCTTTCTTTCTCTCTCTCTCTCTCTCTCTCTCTCTCTCTTACGCCCTGATATTGAAACACTCTCGGAAGAAACACATTCTCTCTTCGCCACGATTGAGGACTTTCCTGTGATCCAGTTATCAATATACTTGGCAAAAAACAAATAAAGCTAGCTCCTCGGTCCAGGGTTGAAGTTCCCGGCCAAAAGCCTCGCCTGCTCTATTAAACAAAGATCCAAGGGGTCCTGCTTCAGGACACCCCCATTAATGGTTCGACCCCAAAGCCTCTAGTTGATGTGATATAGTATACAGGGATGATCTCACGCGCAGCAAATGTGTCTACAACCAAAGGTAGCAATGAAAGTAGCAGACCTAGGTGTCAAAGTTCATGTGTTGTAAAGCAAATAGGTCTCTCTCTCTCTCTCTCTGCTGTTTCTAAATGTATCTTGTTGCTTTTCACAGGCAAGATGCCTGAGCTCCTTCTGTAGCAACAACAACTTACTAAACTATGAAATATTATATACAGCATCAAATTGACATCAAGTGATCCACTAAGCATGAGAACGCTTAAGATTTCAGGCCTGCCAACACAACATGTAGCTGGACCCTCCAGTTCGTACCCAAGGTACTTTGAGACTCCAGGTATTTGCATTGGATCGGAATGGTCAAACGGTTCATCAAATCGGGGTCAAATGTGGTCACCATTGGTCACCGCTTGTTCTCACAGATCCAATATGTGTTCTTTGGAAGCCATGCCTGATCTCAATGGTCAGGTGAGTGCGCTAGTGCATTGGACTGAACTTAAGACCTGCTATGCTGCTACTGTGTTCAGCTTCGACACCAAAAAACTGATGCGGCAATTCTGAAGGTCGGAAGGGCCCCAATGAGTCTGGGTCCTCTTGGAAAGAATGCTCAACACATAATTCAATTCTCAATTCTCAACACCTCACCTGCTCATTAGTACTAACACAGACTCGGCATCTCGGTTCAAAAATCCCACCACAAAAAATGCCATCTCCGGAAGGCCATCGTGCCCCACCTTGATCGTAGGCCTTGGTGTTCGCTATTAAGAACTCCACATCTTCCAGCCTTTTCGGGCCGACCGAGCTCCCACATGGCCGCAGGCAACGCTGGGGCCACTTGATGCGGAGAACATCTTGCGTAAGTGAGGCATCCATGCTCAATCTCGGGATGTCGATGCCCAATCCACTGCAAACATGAACATACATCCACACACCACGGGGCCCTTCAACATACTCTAAAAAGATTGGGCATCACATGACATCATCTTAACTTGTTAAAAGAATAGCAATCGTGAAGTCTTCCAGATCAATAGGAATCCTTTAGGAAGGTTCTGAATCATCAATATTCAACCTTTGGAGATTCAATCAAGCGCCTCACTGCAACCTGCGCACTCTCCCCCACTCCTCTCCTTGTGCGGTGGTGTGCCTGCGGTTACCCGTGAAAAGGTCTCGGAAACATCCGCAGGCCGTGTTTCTGTTTCTGCAAGATCATGAGTTCTCGAGGGAACCAAGTGAGTCCACCCCCAAGTGGAACGTGGCCACTCTGCATAGAGGATGAAGATGGATGAAGCCCCTGGATGAAGTTGGGTCCGTCCTCTAGCTAGCCACTTCAAAAAAAGGGGACCGGTTCGATGTGGCAGGCCATCCGTCTCTTCGATCTCCCATCAATCCATCCACCCATCACCGTTCCACTCTGGCGAAGGGGTCGTTCGACGCAAACCGAACGTCGGTGATGGACATCACCATGCAGGGATGATGCTTTTAGCCGGGGTCCAGGGTAGGACGCGGGGGATGAGGTAGCTAGTAGCTTAAGTATGCTCTTAAGTAAGCTCCTACCTAGGATGCAGGATTGCTCACGCTTCCTCAAGGAAACTCCCCCCGCCTGAGGGCAGGCCGGAGCTTCCTTGAAGAAGCGCTCGCACTATTCATCAATTCATCTATATTCATATAGTTCCTAGATTTGGGGAGCTTAATCCTAGATTTTATGGCCAATGACCCACCCCGCCCATTTCTGCAAAGACGCTCAAAGTCTTCCAGCGACGGGAAGGACAGGGATTCCCAGTAGATCACATCCTCGGATCTGTCAGGGGAAATCGGCGGCAAAACGCATGCTCTTTTGGGTGGCTGTGGGTCGCCAGATGTCACCAGACATACCTTGACCTACGAGTACGTGTCGGTCGTTCACTACATGGTGAACTGGTTGGGCGAACATGGTTGTTCACGACCCATCGCCAGGACAAAGGAAATAACCACAGTAGCAATGATCTGGCTCTCTGATGACAATCCCTCAAACAAAAATCAGATCTTAACAGAATGCCAGCAGTCCCTCGACCACAAAACGCGTGGGCAGTCCCCCTGAGGAGGCTTCCACAGTGCAACATGACCTGCTTGAAAAAAACACCTGCCCATCCACTTGAAAACAACAAGGCAGCTAAACAACCGGAGTCTTCCTACAAGTCTTCCTATTATCGTGCTTCAACCACCGTTGCGAGCTGCCATGGTCACCGTCACCATTTCTATTTGCATACCCAAACACTCGTATATGATTCCTTCGGTTGCTGGCTTTCACCATTCACAATATAAAACAATACAATAAGTATAATCAGCTTATAGCACATTACAATTCAATTGAAATACACATATATATATATATTAAATCATATTGAATCACTAAAACATTCCTGATCAGAAATGCCGTACTTCACTCCACCCACCGGTCTCTTGGAGTTTCGGCCCGCTGAACCCACCGGGGTCTCCCGGCCCGCTGAACCCGATGTCAGCCCAGCAGCTCGGGAAGTCTTTCGAAAGACAAAGACCCGAGGCGGCAGATCGGCGAAGGGAATCCAGTCTTCCTGAACAACACCGTTGCTTGTGCCATCTCTACGAGCCGATGGGATGGGAGGATTCTTGGATTCAAGAAAGGCTTATACAAGGTCCAGGAGTCCAGCATGTCTTACGAGCCGATCAAGGTCTGTAGAAGCGCCCTGGTAACCGCGCCCTGCTGAACAAAAAACTTTGAACAAATGGAGTCGAAGACGGAGGAGTCGATCGGGTTGGAGAGGGTTTGGATGGATCATGGAGGTCGATCGAACGATTCCAAGAGGTTCGACATGTTTCGACTCATTCAGCGCCGAGTCCAAAAGAATTGGTCTCGATGGAGTCGGATGGTTCAACGACTTGTCATCGGTTTGGACCCAACCACCTGGAAGAACGGAACCACAGCAAACAACTACACAACTGCAAGAACAACAAAACACGCAGCAACAACAACAGCAACAACAACAACAACAACACCAACCAACCAACCAACCCAACACCAACACCAACACCAACACCTGACGCTGTTGCTGCTGCTGCTGCTGCTGCTGACAACAACAATCTATTTGCTTTGTTTCATCTACTGTATATTGGCCACTAGGTACAACAGCGACCTGTAACGAGAGACCTGTCACACGATATCGAGGCGTTCGTGCACGGTTGGACCGGATTGTGTCATACGGACTCATAGCGACAAACACTGGAAAGGGAAATTTGAGTTATCTCTACACTATACACTGTGAGTAATAATTTGGATGTCATTCTGAATGATCTCCATTGGATAGTGATTTCCACATATATTTATATATGATTATATATGATAGTGATTGATAGTGTATGAGAGTGTAGCGATTGAATCACCCCTCTACGCCACCCTTTGCGCTCGTGTAGCACGAAGCACCACAACAAGATTGTCCCTGCACCACCGCTCGCTCATCGTCGAATGCTGCCCGGTGGCCCAATGATGCGCCAGGAGGGGGAAGTGCCACCTCGTGGCGGAGGATGTCGACCCCAAAAGCGTCATCGGATGTTCATGTCGTGCATGTCAAGCGTCTGACCGTGGACCGGGGTTCGCACAGTCTGAGTGTGGGCAAAGGTCCATCCGATGTAAATTCGCCTCCAAACCATGTCGAAGCAACATCGCTCCCTCCCGAAATGGTAACCTTTCAGTAGATAGAACATAAGGCAACAAAACTGTTCTGGATCAGGATACAAGAGGCTTGCGACTACTTGGGTAAGAACCAGAACACCTTGTATACGAAGTGTTCCAACAACGATGTGTGCCACAGTCTTCCATGTCCACCAGCAAACCATTGCGACCACCTGCGGGATTATCCTCCTTAGCACTAACGTGGAAGTGGGCAAAAAACCCTGTTTGTAAAGGATTTCATGGTCTCCCCATGCCATCCACTTCCATGTTAGTTCCGGGGAGAGTATCCAGCACACACCTGCGCGCGATTGAATTCCCCCTGCCAAACCCACGTGAGGTCAGCGGTCCGCGGGGCCCGCCTAGCAAAGTCGTTGCCACCTTCGGTGGAGATGTCCTGGCTCCGGTAGGACCGGGTTTTCCCGAAACAAATATCCTCGAAAGCACACCGGTGAACCTGAGTCAACCCTGTCGCACCAACGTACCAACGAAGGCGACCAAGCCAATTTCCCATCGTGTTTTGCCTGGGTTCTAGATCATTTTATATGAATGACGCGAAAATGTGCAGCTGAGTTTTGTTTTGTATGTAACCAGCTCGGTGACATTTAGGTACCCAAAAAATAGGCATCATTGGACAGAAGTCCTTCATGCTAATGATGCGGACAAACAGGTAGTGACTTCAGGGATTCCCATACAAAACAACACCGAATGAAAGGGTTTAGTGCTAGCGGGTGGAACAAGTAGGTAGATATTAGTTGCGGTGTCTTCACTGGGAGAACGGTAGGCTTGCTTGCCAGTGTCGATTCCCAAGAGTTCAAGCCAAGGGTCCAACGGTCCAATCCTTGAAATCACCAGAAATAACAAATTTGGATTATTGAAGTGAAAAGAAAGAGAGAGAGAGAGAGATATCTACATATATATATATATATGTATCCTTGAACGTTGTATCAATTATATCTGCATACACCTGGGCAATAGAGAGATACACATGTTTAGCATACAGAATACACTATCACCCCTTAAACCTTTACAAAGCAAACAAATATCAAATGCATGTGGGCCTGGGTGTGTGTGTGGTTCAGCGCCAAATTATTTAACACGTTGCTTTTAAGCAGCTATACAATAACAGAGCGCACATGCTGCACGAAATACCTTGAGTTTGCGAGCCATCGGTCGATAATTCAGTTGAATTAACAAAGCAAACACGTCCAAGGACATGACCATCTTCATGGTCTCTCTCAGGAACCACCCCCTCTGAGGATTATGTGTATATATATGCACAAATATATATATATACACATAATTATACATACATGGTTAGAGAATACAACCTGCAATGGCAATGGGGTCCTGAAAGTGTTACTGTAGTCTGATTGTTCTTGAGTTTGGGGCAATTTTGAGCCACAGCCACAAACACTTCATACCCTAGGGATCCAAGCACCTTCTCAGAAGGTACGACTGGACCCTCCAAACCTGCATAACAGTGTCTCCAATCACCTGAGAAGGTACATGGATCCCTAGGGATAAATTATTCTTGGCCGCCGAGTTCAAAGCAGCCCTGCTCCCATGGTTCCCAGTCGGTCCATAGCGCAGAAGGTGTAGCGCAGCGTGGCGCGCAAGACCTGCACAGCTGCCACTGCGCCGTGGAGTTCGCCCAGGGACCATACTGGAGGCACCATGGCATGTGGGGAAGATTTAAATCGGTGTTTTAATTTTAAAAGGGGGACCTCCCAACCAATGGATTTCGTCTGTTTTGATGTTCCTGGAGGTCCAACTGGGGGGTCTCCCTATTCAAAATCAGTACATTATCATATTCAATCTTCCGAGTTGACAAGAGACTATGGACCTGTAAAAAACAATTTGCCTCCAACAAGGTAGTTGCGCCTGCCGGGCAAGGAGTTGAGCTCGACACCGTCTTTTGGAAGCCCATGCAAGCCCGAATAGATAGTCTTAGTTGAAGAAACAACCTTTAAACAACTAACTTAACTGAACAATATCAATAACAAATCAACCATCATCCCCTATTGTTTTTCGATTTCAAGACCACCTGCCTCTTCAGGCCTGAACACAATAGAACAGAATGAGATCCTCGGTCGTCCACTCGACCGTCCTCGGCCCTCTGCTTGAAGGCGTTCACCGCCGTTTCGTTGTCGTAGTGTCGCAAAGCCACCACCGTCCAATCTGGAATCGGAATGGAGCTTAGAGAGAGAGAGAGAGAGATTTGTTAAAGAAGAAATGCCTATTCTATAATTTTTTAAATCATTTACAACATTATGCACAATGTGGTGTGACTGAACTGGGCAGCCAATTGCCCAGCTCTGGAAATTAAGCTCATGGGGCGCTGTTTTCAAATTGCGGTTCCCGTTTATGAGCGGTCCGCTGTTGCCGTATCATGCGTATAATGTGGCGCAAAAAAGCGATGAAAAGAAGTGTAAACTGATAGTCCCACTCAAATTGGTGTAGCATACAAACCAAGCTCTCTTGATACAAGGGCGCTAAGCCGAATACAACAAAGCATGACAAGGCCTTCCTACTCTTGAAACACCAAACAGAGTACAAACAAAACCCTACCAGTACAAATCACTCCAGGGTAACATTAATATTAGCACCCTAGAGCTCCTGGCCTACCTCTGTTTTGAAGGTGCTTGGGGTGGTTGCCAAGGGGGTAGTATGTCCCTAGCCTCTTTTCAGATGTCAGGAGTACCAAGTCATCACTTCCGCTTCCTCCGCTCCCTCCACTCCCCACAGTAACTGAATCGGTGATCGGGACACCCCCGCGATCGCTCGCCTTGTGGAACGAGCTCCCAGCTATAGTACCAGTTCAAGTTCCCAAGCACCGGCACGGAACCTCACTGATTCTGGCTGATCAAGTGAAAACTGGACAAAAACACAACTTCATGGCTACATAAACAATCGGACTTATATGACTCATAAAACTCATGACTCATGTCTTGATGCTACATAGAAACTACCCGATAAGACTGACTCATGACTGCAAATATCTTCAAACCATTTGGGCTCCCAGGACATTCGCAGCGTTCACAGCGCTTGACCCCATGCGACGCCCGACGCGCGTGTGGTTCGGATGCAACGAGCGGCTGATGGCGATCCACGCCCGGATGAGTTCCTGGCTCTTAGCGGAGCGAGTTCACCGGTGTCACCGGTGTTCGGTCCGATGAAGGGGGAAGACCTGAAAAAGGTGAAAAAACACAAAAACAGATGTAGCGAAATGAAGGCGCTCTGTGGAGTCTCTGGTGGTTTTGGACTTTTTGTTTGTTGAGTTGGTGGGGAGATGGGAGAACAAGTGAAACTGAAGGTGTGGGTGGCCTTGGGTCGTTTCACTAAGGTAGCTCTGTTTGTTTACACTCCGACTCTTGCTAGCATGGAAGTGAACAACCACTTGTTTGTAGAGGAAAATGGTCTTGTCAGTGGCCAATATCCACTTCTATGAGTTAGTCAGTGGAAGTGTACATTTCTTTGCCTGAGAAGCACGCCGTTGCAGGTCATCGTCCTCTGTTGAAGCAATGGAATGCGATGGACATAGTTATTTGTTCATTCATGTCCTGAATTCTGACTCCGAAGATTAAGAGGTTCATCATTCTTACAAGTGAACCTACATGTGTGAGTAAAACACATCTTAAAATGATCAAGTCCATGCGGAATTTTGGTTCCGGTAGTCCGGTAGAGAGAGTCATAGACTCCACATGGCCAGCATCACACTTACGAATCTATAAGATTCCAAAGGTTTCACTCAGTCAGAAGACAGACGATTTTCTCCGAAAATATGGACATACTATCCAACACGAAGACAGAAGAGGGCCCAAACAGAAGAGTGGACCACTTAAGCTACCAACGGGACCTCGGTCCCGTTCGTGTCTTCTCGGAGACTGGCCGGGGTTTCTGGTGCGGCCTCGAGACCTCGGGATGTTTAGCTTAAAAATAGAATATCTGGACGCGACAAAAGAATTCCACGGATACCAGCTTCCAAAGGATTGATTCCACATATGTATGCTGTATATATATATATATAATATGTATTGTGTAAAAAACAACACCAAACATAGAAAACAACAAAGCATCACAACTCCATGGTTAAAAGGAAGTGATCCGAAGTGATTACTAGACGATCTGGTCAAACGAAAACACCCACTCTTGAGAACTCTTCTTAAGTCTTGAGGCCTGACAAAAAGGGTACACTCCCACTCACTCACATCGACGTGGGCACTGATGGCACCCCCTGTTCGCAGAGCAGTCTTCCTGGGGCCAACTTCTCACGACCTGTTAGGTCGCATAGCGACCATGCGCTCACTCCATGCGAGGATGCTTCACCTCCCACGACGACCTCTGTCTTATTGGATTCATGGGACTCCGGAGCGGCCATTTGGATGTCCATGGCAGCTCTCTCCATCGTGTGAAGACGCAGCTTTTGATGAATGCATCGTGTGAACGACTCAAGTTGACTCAAGACTCTTAGAGTCCGTGGTATTGCCCCAAATCAAACACCTCTGTGAGGAGCCTCGCACCCACGCAAGGCCGTCAGATTAAGGGAAGGGACCGACCGGACACACTTCATGGTTGCCGAGTCTTCCTTTCGAGACCGTTGCCGCCATGCCCACGTCTCCCGCGCGAAGCGGACCGCTTCGCCGCGTCCCGCCTTGTCTTTCACCAACTCGAAGGGAGCGGGTGAAAGATTCAGGTCCTATGAGGAGCAGAACTGTCCTTTTCAGGGGCCTCCCACACAACGGACAGACTGAAACAGAAAAAGACATAAGAAAACAGTCAAAAAAAACAAAAAACGTCCTTGTTACTACAATAAGTTCAAACATTTGCAAGACATGTTGAATCATTTTTGGCTTTTAAGATCTTTTAAGCAGATATGCCTGGTGAATAATGGGTACAAACATGAACATGACGGGTAACTGGACTCCCTGAATCCATCCTGACATGGCACATGGACGACAACAACAGAATCAAGGACCCTTAGGTGTGAAGGTTTGGTTTGGGCCCCAACACCTGCAACAAGCAGACAGAAAGCCTCCAGACTCCATACGAGGGTCCGGTTACTTATAGGGCAGAGGCCACAGCTCTTTCCGCCGGTTGTTGTGCACCAAGACGACACAAACAAGTGAATGGAATCGTTCACAAAGTCCGGTCTGCCAGCTCGAGAACAACACGTCACAACTGCCGGACACCATATATGGTTAGGTTGCAGGCTGAAAGACAAACATAGTGATAAAGCCTTTTACCGACTGTTACTGGTTTACTGGGACAAACCCTTAAATATATAATTACTGTAGTATAGGCATAGGCATTAGTCATAACATGTCAAAACCACAATGTAGACTGTTCGAAAGGGCCATATATATACTAGCCGGTGGTCACCATCGCAATGCCTCTCCTCTATTGCAATGAGATGCGGAACCATCTCATCGGCTGGCACGCTCGGAGCAACTACAATCACGTTGAGAAGAATCCACCTGGTGAGAAGAATCCACCTAAGATTCTCAAGTTAGATTCATCTCATCTTGAATCACATTCTGAAATTCTAGATCCCAAATACCAACCACGGTCACGGAGGTGCATCCTGCAGTGTTTGAGCGCGGTGAACACCGTCCTTACTGCCCACCACGTGTACGAAGGGCCGTGGCCCAGGGAAGCCAAACCAGCTGTCTCCTGGCGATCAGATCACCAGATGCGCGAGGTGATAAGCAATTTCTTTGGTATAACATGGTAATGACATACCTGCAGTCACAAAGGGGTGCCTCTTGGAGGATAGGGGTGCCTATTATCCACTCACTTAGGGATTAAACACCACCCCTTTGTGACCCCTGGTATCTTTGGTATCTGTGGTATTCCCTGGTTTGTTGGACATTTTTTGTATATCCCAAGCTTTTTAGGGCCCAAAGGATAGTGAGAAAACCTTTAACTGTTGCTGATTTACTGGGACACCCCATAGCAATTTCCGAGGTGTTCGACCCAGATGGCATTCCGAAGCCCCAAACCACCACGTTCTCGACCTCCGGTAAGGGCTAGAGATAGTCCAAGACGCACAGAACTGGTTCGTGACTTCAAATAACGTGAAAAGTAGTCAGTAAGTAAAGGTTGAACATGGATGAACATGGTAATATCCGAAACCACCACCCAGAAGACTAAGCAGCACGAGCACCAAAAGAGGGATCTTGGCTCCCGCACCATCCCAGGCGACGTGGAAGTTTCGGAACTCAATGAATTCCATCGCCAGCTCCTGCGGGCGAAGATACCATCTCGGCAAAAAGCGAGCCTGCACACACAGGCCGGAGGCCGGGAACATAAAAGTAATCAGCGGATTCACCACTAGTGTAAGTGATCGATGGTAGTTCTCTAGTTGTTAATAGTTGGTTGCGATGGTGTAGTAATCGGTGAAAACTGCACTCCCACACGGCACTATGTGTGGCCAAATGGCCAATGTCTCCAGTGTGTTGGTTGATGAAATTTGGTCAGAGAGCCAGGAGCCCAGGAGCCCCTCGTAGCGTCCTTGCTCCTAGTAGCGATGCCAGGAGCCCCTAGTAGCTTCTTGCTCCTAGTAGCGATGCCCTTTGCTCCTAGTAGCGTCCTCTACCCCCCCACTCAATAGTGCGCTAATCCTGGATGGTTGAGTTCGAAGGATCGTTGAGTACGAAAGCACAAAGAAGGGGGGGCAGTATCAGCGGCCAAGGTACTGCATTTGGAAACACTTGGAAACAACAGGTCGTCCTTTCCCTCCCAAAATAATGAAAACACGCACTCAACAAAATCAACCCCTGGTTCCAACCCGCACCCCTGCAACCATAATTACCTGTCTTTTCAGTTTTATGTTTGATAGGTCCATGTGTATCCATCGGGTCAACCAGGGAACTTCTTCCTGTCACCTGCCGGTCCCATTTGGTTGGGCAGACCCCGCCGTATCCATGGCTACTCCCTGTCATCGCATCCCCTCACCTCCCAAATAGCGATCAACTCGGTGTCCACCACTTCAGAGACCAGGATGAAGCATGGGATCTGAGATGAAGCATGGGATCTGAGAGGCCAGCTGGCGACCACAAAAGTGAAGTCGACAAATACCACCCCACATGTGTTTATCCACTAAATGCGTCCCCAGTGGACTCCTCCAACATGGTAAATGAAGCTCGCAAAGGGTCCACTTTCGGGGCCTTTTGAAAAGCATGTCAGCTTTTAAACTCCAAGTCCGTCCGCTTCGTCCCACAGCGCAATGTTCTGTGTCACAAATAAGTCTTCCCGATACCAAAATAAAGCCACCAAGTGATTCTGTATGCGAGGATGTTAAGACAACTAAACTTCCTTAATGTTCCTTAGTGAAGCATGAGAAATCTTGTTGCCGAAGTCGAAAGCCGCGTGACAGGTGGCTTGGCTATAGTTCAGTGTGCATTGAACATTCCACGGGAATTCTCGGCTGCTCGCTGTCAAAAGTGCCAACTAAGACTACCAAAGAGCGCGCAACCGGTCTGCCTGCGCAAGCCCTTGGAAGCTCCCCCCTCACAATCGCAAACAAGCAGCAGGCTGAGATTTTTGTGTGAGCCATTGCCTCAGTTGTTCCCATCCCAAGTGCCGACCTGGAAAGAGAATAGAGAATACAGTACAATCCTTAGCCTAAAAATCCATCCAATGGCTTTTGAGGGTGCAAGGTTCGAGAGCCGGCCTCCTGCCGTGGAGGGTTCAAGGACTCTTAGGTGATCAAGTCCCCAGCACAGAAGATTCCACAATTCATCCAACATGCGGCTTGGACTCTAGCCTAGCCAAAAATGCATCCTCTCCAAATCTCCCGCTCGAGTGCGTTGGTCACGTTTTGGGCGCCCATCACCATCGAAAAAGGGCCTTGGTTCCTATATGTAATTACCAGTGGCTCCAGGTCTCACCATCACAAATGGGACTATGATGACTATGGGACCTGCCTTGGATGCGATTTGGGCACCAGCCTCGACCAGCCTCGACATGCCGACCCCCCACGGTTTCTGGGCACCCCGAACTCGTAAGAGTCCACCATCATAAAGGCCGGCCGCACCGCACGGCCCACCCAATAGGTCAGGGAATCCTCGTGCCAAGACCTGGCGAGAGAGATGGGAGTGGAGGGGTGGGAGGAGAGTGGAACGAGAACTGGGTGTTTGAGGAGGGTTCCTGTGTGATGTTTGCTTGGTGGATTTGAGGAAAGAACTTGAACAGAAGTATATTATCAGAAGCATGGGAAGCATCAAAAGGTCCTCAGAGCCTCACACTTGGTTCTTTTCGTACCTCTTCCCCTCTTTCAGTATGAACTCCTCCTCAGAGTTGGATAATTTTTGTGGTGAGTCGTTTCCTTGCTGTCGTAGGGCCCTTCAGTACCAGCTTAAGGAACAGAAGAAACGACATGACCGATGGAAGCAAAACGGTGCAAAACCGATGAAAACCCCAAGGACCTGGACCTGGCCATGAACCTGCAGGCGTTTGACATCTGGAGACTCCGTCAGACCGGAGCACCATAGGCCCCAACCGTCGGAGACCTAAAACATGCTTTAAAGTTCCAAATGAATCTTGTTAGCACCTCCAAACGCGTCACCTCCAGCCACGTGGTCTTCCAAGGGTGTCCAACCTCCGGAAGGGCAGCATATAGCCGGATCTGAAGCAGTTGATGCCTCAGGTACACATGCACAGGCCGAAAAACCTCCGAAGGGGGCGTATATTTTTTGCGCAGCTTGTGTTCGCAAATGCAGCATCCTGTAAATTCCCCCCACCAAGGCCTAAGCCCTAAGCGTGTAAGGTGTTTCATATGATCATTGAGATTGTTATCCCAATTAATTTGCATCTGCCAGGGGTTTTAGTCTGTTTTTTCACTGATCTTGTGACCCACAACCCTTGAACATAAATAGAGTCTAGAGCAGAATTCGATCAGTTTCTCCACATACTCAAAACCCGTCTGCGGAGATCTGCGGAGTGTACACTTCGATGATGTCTTCTGCCTTGCGATCTTGGAGTCGCCATCATCGACTCACTTGTGTGTCCGACACAACTCCCAGCCACAACTCATCGTCGACAGAACAATTTGACTTTGGATCCGCGGTGGTTCCCCCCCCGAAGCAAAGCCGGTGCAGCTCAAAGATACTTAAAAATAACAGTCCCACAAAACTTGTGGTTTTTGAAAGGAATGACTGAAGAAGAACCAACCTGCATCAACCTCACCGCTTAGTGAGCCTCACATGAGGCCGCTTCGGCGGCATTCGTAACTTCATGTAAATTACAAATTATGCTAACCACTTAGCATATCTCTGATGGTTTTGCAAAACAACACATATATATATAAGCAAAAAACAACTACAAAATGAGAAAGCAATAAGAACAAATCCACAAAGCAAAAGAAAAAAACAAACAAATCCAAAAAAAAATGACAAAGCAACATCAAAAATAAACAAATCCAAAAATGAAACAACAAAAGCGAAAAACACAAGCAAAACAACAGCAACAAAAAAAGGTGCCCGAAAGGCGCCAAAACGAAAGCGAAAACACATAAAAACACAAGCAAAATCACAAACGAAAAAAACAGAAAACGACACAATGAATGACACACAGAACAGCGAAACAAACCAAAACATAATGCAAAACAAAAACACCAAAAAAACACATCGAACACAATGCGAAACAACGCACAAAACAAAGGACGCCACTTAAAACAGAAAACCATACATACACCATGTGTTTTTTTGCTTTTTGGAGTTTTTGCTTTTGTTTTTTTATTCGTTGTTGTTTTTTGCTTTGGCTTGTTCATTTGTTGTTTGGACTAGCCCTTTGCTTTTGCTTTTTCTTTTTCATTTGTTTGTTTAGTTTCTATGTTGCTAGATTCTCAGACTTAGCCTGGGTCCGGCGAACACAATTAACAATACATACGTACAAACGCCGCAGGAAGGGCGGGTTTTCGTTCGTCTCGCGGGGACCTCGGAACAGCGGGACCTCTTCGGCGGTCGAGGGGCGCGGGTAGAAGTCGGTGTAGCGCTCGCAAAGCTCGCCCTGAAGGAGCGCGAAGTCTTGGCTCCATGGAGTGGGAAGTGATCCTTTATGGTCCAGGAAGAGGCTGCGGTACCGGTACACTCCCTTTCCAAGCCCAAGGCTAGTGATCCGCAAGTCGAGTGATCCGCAAGCCCCGAAGAAAGGGTAGTGTCGTGAAACACACCCGAAGACCAAACGAATGAATCCCAAGCTCCCATGCCCAGTGGATGACGGTTGAGTAAAGGCCTTGTTCAAAAATAGTGATCATCGTTGACCAACCAACTTCACAGGTAATAGGGGTCAGGCAGACTCTTGGTCACATACACAGCGCCTGGTTTGTACAGTCAACCATAAAGAAGCGCACCGTGCGGTAGAGCGTGATGTCACCTTGGAGGTTTTTGAGGATTGGACGGTTTGAAGAGCTCTCAGCCTGTCAGTTGTGTAGCTTGTAGGAATGACTCCCATGTTTTTCTGCCTTTTCAATGAAAACGGTCTTTTTCAAGCAGCGCCAACTATATGTTTGTCTTGAACAACGTATTGATACTTTGGGCATTGCGATGGCTTTAATATATTTTAATGCTCTACGCGGGGTGGGAGGCATAAATTCGAGATGGTGTGAAACCAATCAGCTTTATCGGCTTTAAACTATATTGCAGCAAACTGACGCGGAAACAAACGCTTAAGTGGACATTGACACTGCATGACACTGGCATGGCAATACCCGGGTAGATTTGCAATGTTTTGCAAATATGCCCCCCTCCAACATGGAAGCGGACCCATTCCCTGTTTGTAGAGGACACTTGTCTTTCCAGGAGCCATGCCATCTACTTCCATGATTGTCAGAGTGAGTGTATAGTTTTGACAGCCCCTTTGTGGGCCCTGTCCAACAACAGCTTCTTACACTGCACTTCACCCCCACATGGCCAAGAAACGCACTCGCACACTATTCTCCAGCCTGCCATGGATGCATCAGAACTGCCAATGGATATGTTTTCGATCAAACATGTGCCCATCACACTGAATGTACCTGTACAATCCTGTACAAAGGATGCCAATTCCATCCATTTCCTTCTAAAGAACCCAGGAACTTCTGGAATCCTCGTAATCCTCTCTTCCCACGTTAATCAGGTTCAGCCATGGCACCAGAAACTTAATTCAAATGCACCAGGGACCAGGACCTCTAACCTATCCAAACCGAAACCTATCCCATCATATCCACTCACGACCTATGAAGCTTAGACACGGGTCGCATACGTATCTTAAGCTTCAAGACACCAAGTGATGCCAAGTACCTGGTTTCTGTTGAAGGCGGCACTGGAAGCCACCAGCCGTCTGTTTCACTGTGCTTCTTCAGATGCTTCAACTTTGGTTTTCGCTTTCGACCCAGGCCTCCCGCAGGGCTGACGGCCGCTCCCAAAGTCGAATGCGAATTTATTCCAAATGCGCCTCTTCTTGGCACCCCGGAAGGCATCAAAGCCCTGGGGCCAGGGGTTCTTCTCATGATGGAAGAGCACCAAGGCCTGCGGCCCAGCGCCCGGCTTCGTGTGCAACTCAGCGACTTAAGCGAGGAAGCTGAATACAACTACCACAACTGACTGGCCACTTGCTTGAAACATCCGGGTGTATTTGATGTATTTTGCCCAACTCCCTCATCCCTGTCCGAACTTTGCAACGGAATTGCACATTTTGCTGGCTGTGATGAGTTCATCCTGTGAACCAGCAGGCTTTGCCCCACCAAGCTGTATAGAGAAACTTCCCCCCTAGAATTCCACCCCGAATGCGCTAGCGCTGCGAGCGCCTCAGAGTCGGTTACGCGACATCGACCACGTCCCAGGGAGTCGCAAGGAGAACTGTCCAGGATCAGAAGCCAAACCTGCTCTGATCCTCCCGTCATCCCGGAGCCGGGTATACCACCCGAGGTCGGGCTCTGGAACAAATGTCCACATGAGTGGTCAAGCTGCAGGAAGCGAAACGTGCTCGAGTCCAGTATGATGGTTTTGGAACAGTGAGACTGTCCAACCAATGGTGTGTCGGTTCTTTTTACCAGGGGTCCTTGCAAGGGGAATTGGCTGTACCCATAACGGCTTTAGGTCTTCAAGGTTTGAAGCCTCTGGATCACGGTCGATAGGAAAGGACAAAAATTAGGTACGGTATGGTACGGTTAGGAACTCAGTCAAGCTAGACTCCCCAAAATAGTCTCCAACAAAAACAAACAGACTCACAAAAGCAAAACACATCCAAAAAGAGCAAATTTAACATATACTTTCTTTTTCCTGCCTGTCCCTGTGCGTCAAAACCCGCCCACTGTTTCATTCCGCGCGCCATGTAGCTGGAGAGACCCGTAGCGTTCACCGGTTTGACGACCTGAACGGCAAAGCCAACGCCGCGGACCGGGTGGTTTTCCGCGCCCAGGGCCGTGGGACTGGCGGGCAACAGCAGCTACTTCCTTTTCATGGGTGTTGCCCACTTCTCCAAGCAAACGAGTGAGGTGGGATGAAATGCGGTCTGAATCAACGGTATGTTGCGTAAAACGAAGGAACCTGGTTGCGTGCTTCACGTACGGTGAGGTGCGAAGCTTGTTTTTGTTGTTGCTTAGTCTTCCAAACTCATGACATCCCTTGGACGTTCATGAACTATGAGATGAACAATTGGAGTGCCTCAGAACTATCATTCTCCGAAGACCAGTCGTCCAGTCGTGTCGAGCTTTGGGGGTTGCCTGTAGTCACCCTTCTAGGATGTAGGAACAACAAATATATACCCTATGCGTCCAAGACTTACTTTGCTTAAGTTCGACTTAGATTTGCAGCCTCGACTTAAAAGTGTACTGTTTAGACATACCGCGACACGATCCCCTGTGGATGGTAGCACGGGGTCTGAAAGCCAGGAATCAACAGTGCATGGAACATAATTACGGTTAAATAAGTTCAACACAGTTGTTGTCAAAAGTGTGTCTAATTGCTACTGCACACTGCACATACTGGATTTATACTGATCGCATGTTTGTATCCATGACGCGTGCGGATCTTCTTGCCCATTCGGACCAAATGAACAGTGGACTGACCATGGACAAACCGTGGAACGACTTGAAAAAGGCATGGAACGACTTGAAAAAGTCGTGGAAAGACTTAAAAAGGTCGTGGACACCACCACCCCTGAGAATCCACTTGAAACATGTTTTACACAGCACTGTCCACGAAAAAAGTCCACACAAAGGATGAACAGATTGGCTTCGTGCCCGGTGAAAGGATTGGAAAACGGCTTGACGATTTCAGACTATGTACATGCACATGCGAAAACATGGGTTGAAGCTTTATTTGATGATGTTCAGATCACTTCAACATGACATATATAGGTTCCAGGAAAGGTCAAATACAGTGACTCTTTTTAAGTCTTTCATTCCCAGTTTAAGTCTTTGCTGGAAGACTTCGATTTTCCAAGACTTTGGAAGTTTAGGGTATATACCAAATAGATCCAAATAATATAGAAACGGTTTGCAATACAAGTTGAAAGGGATTTGTTTTGTTAAATCTATTTGGGGGTCTATATGGGTTATATACCATGCATGGTGTTTCAACACGATCGAGAAGTCAATCTACCATGGATCTGTCATGAGCTGGAAAAAAGAGTTCCAGAAGTGTGGTGACAAACATGTCTGTCTCTAGTAACTGGTAGACAGTCAGTCAGACATGTCGTTTCGCTTGTTGGCTGCTTTGGGACGTACTACATGACTTGGTCCCCAAAGTCTTCTGGTCCAGGTCTGTAGCACAACCGCTGCCTGTTTAAGAAAGAACTTCTCCAACTTTCAGCTGTATTGAACGATGTCTCGAGCCAATCATTGTTGTCCATTCATGTCCATTCCTTCCATAAGGCAAAATCACCAGAGCATGGAAAACACAACAAAAACAGCGGCTGTTCCCGCTTCATAGCCGATAGACAAAACAAACAATGGCCACATTGAGGTGCATGATAAATTGTGACACTGTCTATCACTTGCTTGTTAAAATGGTGTCTTCAAGCTTCACACAACAGCCACAAAAAGCAATAACACACAAACTCAGTTAAAGAAAAAGGACAAACAACTGGAACAAACAATATTATATATTGAATATATACCTCCTACCTTAGGGGGAGGTCATCTACCCCCTACCCTGCATTAATTAATTTTATTAATCCGGGGTACCTCCACTATTTAATCCTGAGCTGCTCTAGGTCTGGATTTGAAAATTAAAGTCTTTTGAATCAAAGGGGTTTTAGTCTCAACAAGATCATAAGCAACACTGAAAAGGGGAATCCACCTATTTAATCCGGAGGGCCTCCACCTAATTAATCTGCAAATTTTGAGAAGTCAGCCATAGGGTGGTTCACCACTCACATACCCTTGGATTCATTTCACACCTTTTTGCTCTCTCTTGAGATTCAAGCAGTGCGAACACAAAAATGACAAAATTAATCCACAGGTAGTTGAGTTCTTTCTATCCTTCAAGCTTTTTTTTTTTTTATCAACATTCTGCTTCCCCCTCTTTTTGCATAACTACTAATCCAACCCCTGGACAGCTAATTAATCCAACAACCTTTCATAAAGGTTTTGTTCAACTTCTTGGTTAGCCACCCCCTCAGGATTTTTTTTTACAAATTTGGAAAACTAATCCAAATAATTAATCCCAGAGCTCACGGGGGCCTTGGGCACATTTCCTAAGGATGCATGTATTTAAATATCATGACAAAAGAACAATAGCATAACGGCAAGCAGAACAAAGGGAGAAGGAGATCCAGAATTCGGTAAATTTTGCCAAAACAATACCTGCGAAGAAGAAGAGGCAACATCAAAGAGCTGTTTGCCCTCTTGCCCACTTGATAAGGTATTCCATATCGCTAGACCCAAACGAACACTTCAAATCCCACCCATGCTGGCAAGACTAAAACCAGCCTTGTCAAACACATGTTCCTTTTGGTTCTTCCGACCCAGATATGAAACGACACACAAGTCATGGCCCATGATCTTTGGTTCTTCTCATGACCTAAACGACCACCACCCCACCCCCCTGCAGCACACGTCCCATGGGTCCCCCATGGGTCCCCCCTCGCCTTCTCTTCAAATGTAATCGCCTGGTTTGCGCACGCTTGGAGAACGAAAACAAACAAACAAACACACATACATTGATGAAGCAAGCTTGGGCTGTAGCAAGCTACCGTGCGGTAAATTGAGAGTTAGTGGCAGTGCTTTGCTGGATGGGAGGCCGAGATGCCGCTGATGCTGTACCACTTTTGGGAACATCTATGTTTAGTTTCAATTCTCAGCTGCTTAGCCCAATGGTATCGATCTGTAGACTCTTGAGGACCATAAACTCACCCTTTGAATTGAACAGCCTCTTCAAAGGGGGGGTTTGTGGTCCTCAAGAGTCTACAATTATCGTTGGGCCTTCGACGATCGATCGCGACGACTCGTCACTCCAACAGTGCACGCAGAGCGACCCGCACCGCCGACGACGAACGACCCGCACCGCCGAAGGTTACGACGGGTCGCCGGTTTCCGTCGCGAGCGGTGCGGCGACGCGTCGCGCGCCGTCAAGTTCTCCATCTCCGCGGACTGTGTCACCGCTGGGGCAAAACCTGGAGATCTGGCCGCTGCCAGACCGTGCGCAAAAATTGGTTGCTTCGAATCGCGAGTCTGTGGCATGATGTGATACGTTTGATGCATGTCGATGCTGTTATGTGCTGTTGGTTAGATGCCGTTGGTACTGCTGTTAGTTGATGCTTCTTCAAAAGGCCCTCTCTTGTGATCCCAAACCTGGTAGAACAACCAAAGCCACCCCACTAGCCACCCCGACCGAAAGAGAACAAACAAGCTTCGCACCGACCTTCAGCCCGGTGACGCAAACGGTTGACCCCGTGAAACAGCACGGGTGGTGTGGGCTTGGCGTTGGCAACGGAGGGAATCGGCTCACGGACCGCTTCTTAGTCACTTACCCAAACACGACTAATGGGACTGGAATATATGCCTACATTGACCCCCAAAACCACCCCAATGTAGGCATGTACGCCATACATGGAGTGTCTGGGATAGTAGTAATATGTAGTAATGCCTTTGTTGCCACTACGTAGCTTCTTAGTTACGAGATGTTACGAGCAAGCAACTGTTGCTCGTTTCCCAAACCATCGTGTCATGGTGCGAACATCGTGTCTGACAGCGGTGGGAAGTTTCTTTCGATGAAGGCGGAGAAGGGCGAAGTCTGAGTCTGTGTGTTCTTTTCAATTTTGGCAACACATCGAGACAAAACCTTCGTCGAAAAGGACATGGAACAAACAGCCGTGCTCGGCTTCTGCAAGCACCAGACACAGGAAATCAATGCAAATATTTTGTCCATCTCATACAGGCCCGGTCTGTCTCATGCAAGAACAAAGACTGTAGCTGGGAAGTCCTTCGAGCCACTCCAAAAAGCTCAACTGCTTCACCGCCAAGCTGCTCCCAATCTCCACCGGCCCGCCCCGTGCGCGCAGTACTGCGAGTGCCAGCCACAGGAGTCCAGGGACCGCCATGGTAACTCGCCCATCGGATGTTCCAACGCCAGAGAGGTGGGGGGAGCTGTGGGGTGCACTGGGTTTTCGGCCCAGGTGGCATGAGGATCTAAGCGGTTTTGGGATGTCATGGCGGGAGCTGTGGATCCATCTGGCGATTCATGTGATGCACTCGGGCAGGGAAGACAATGGAATGGCAAGTTGATTCTTTTCTAAGGACAGCTGAGATGAACCCAGGTGATGCTTGTTTTGGTAGGTCATTCAGGGATGGTCTCACCAAATGAACGTCTTTTCCAGGAAGCCTTTTTACGTTCAGCGCTTTCCTGTGTCTACTATGCCTAGGTGGACGAATCGGTCATTGGATTTTCAAACTCAAATGAGAAAGTCTAAGAGCTGGCTTGGGGGCATCGCATGTTCAATAACCTAGGCAAGTGCAAACTGGACATGAGCGTGTTTCTATATACTTCAATATGTCATTGAACATCCGTTTCAACTGGGGTTGACGCACATGCTCTGCTGGAACCGCAAATTGGATTCATTTGTTGAGAGCTCTCGGTGAAGAACTCAGCTGTTCTGGTTCTGGCATCGTGCTTTACAATTCTTTACAAACACTCTGATCCTTTTGCAACTTTTGCAGCTAAGCAGGGATCTGACCACGGTATTGTTTCTTGACCCAAAATTGAAGAACATCACATCCATGGTGGAACTGCGTAATCCGAACGATGTGCTCATGCGACTGTCCGCTTTTGATCCGAACGTGCAGCTGCAGGCGAGGTCAGGTTGGTCATGTCAGGGTTCTGTCGTGTCAAGGTGTCAGGGCCGGCCTCCAGAGGTCAGGGCGTCGTTCCGACGACCGAGTCCTTTTGACGACCGATGGTCCAAGTCCGAATCGGAGAATCGGTGATGACAGCGGTGGCCGTTGGCCATCTCAGTGGACTGGCCCGACCCAGCTCTTTGAAAGAGCTCAAGGATCCTAGAGGCATCTTTCACGATCATCCAGCTCAGAAATATCCTCGATCGTTCGGCTCTAGACATGCAGTCCATTTTCATAGGCATGACATGCAGTAATTAGTTGACCACCTGTACAATCTGGAGGCACCAATACACGAAATCAGAGAAAGGGTAAAATAAGCAATGCATAATGCATAAAGGATATATGCACAAAACATGATTAGTAGGGGCTCCTGATGTCTCTCTATGATTCAGCTGACACCATCATCCATCATCTAAGCAAACACCTCGTTGTTGACAAGGAACGTGCTGTTTGGTGTCAGTGGTAAGTGAATTGGTTCTTGCCAAACCCAGCTGGTTGGGGCAAACACGAACAATCCAACACGTTCCCCTTGGAATTCTCCAGACGTGAAGCCGTGAACATATCATTGCCCACAGTCATGTATAAATATCGATCAAACATGATCAATCTACAGTCGTGATGAGCGTATGAATATATATATATATACTCCATTATACTCCCATATTAATTACATTGAACGTACTTTGAAACCAGAGCCAAATGATTCGGCATGAGACATTCGTCACATGGTTTCCATCATTGCTGAACATGGGGAATCACCAAGGAACTCTTGACACAACATGCTTGACACACAAAACAAACGACTTGACATGATTCAAAACGAACGGTCGAGTCTTTCATGCGCATCTCGGGACTTGAAATCATTCAAACATATTGTAGTAGTGCCCCATATATGATATGTGTGTTTTCATAATATGGGTGCAACGTGACCATGTTCTCAGGGTATCGCCATCGGCAGCCATCCTTGGCCATTGAGTATTGCACAAAAGCATCCCCACAGCCTGCCTGGGAAGAGAGGAACCTTAGTTCTCACAGGTGGTGCCATTCTCACTGGTGGGCTTCCAGTAAATGTTTCTGCGCAGATTGCTGGCTCATCAATGGGATGAATCATATATATATATACTATATTATACACACATTGGAAAGATAAGTGACCATTCTATAGACATAGGTAGCCTGACATCCTATATATTAAGGCAACGATTCCATAGAGATTCATAGATGCAGGTTCATGAGGTCGGTCTGATCATGGAAAGCCTCACTTCTTGGAAAAGACACATCGCTGAACACACGACCTGTTGGGTCTGAACACACGACCTGTTGGGTCTGAACACACGACCTGTTGGGTCTGAACCTGCAGGTTCATAGCAAACATTGTTACTACTAGTAAGGCACTTGTTACTAGTAGCGATGCACTTGTTTCTAGTAGCTTCTTGTTCCTGAAATTATAACTTTGGCTTGACAAATTCACACAAATCAGCGTTCGGTGTGCCAATCGGTCTCGGACCATCTCTGAAAACCACCTCACATGATGGGATGCTCTGATTCCCTCTTCTTCAGGTCGTTGGAATCTTTGGCCCTGGGAAAAAACAAATCTGGTTGACCCTCCCATCGTGGGCCGCCGGTGCTCCGAGCAGCAACTTGCCATACGCCGTGGCCGCTCCTGACAGCGGTGCCGTTGGGGAAACAGGTGCTGTTTGCCCAATTCCATAGAATATGGCAGCCCTCTGGCTCCAATCTCCAATTAGCTCCTCCATCCTGAACTGGAAACCTGCATACTCAGAAATTCTTTAGGTGTTTGCTTAGATTCAGCCGGATTTCTGTCGACTCCAGAAAATTCTGGCAAAAGCGCACCCCAAACGCTCCTGTGGCGCGCACGCAGAGTGTGGCTTCTCTGCCTGGCATAGAAGAGCCGTAAACTGGGATCCACTGGGTGTGAGTTGAGATGATTTGAACGCATCCTGAGAACAACATGCTCAATAAGCAAACGGGTAGAGATATTGACACGCCGGGCATGGGTCTTGCCGCTTTCTTCTGGTATAGGGAGCACAATGGTTCTCCAGCACGTACGCTATTCGGATGAAACAACATTGCACATATATCCACAAAATAATCTTTGTGTTGAATGAAACGTCACGTACCAGTGCTCCGGCAAAACGTGACATGCCAAATCTCAAGCATTGGTTGTCGAAAGAGGTCTTGGGTCTTCAAACTTCCTTTTCTAACAATGGAAGACCAATGGTAGCCGTGTGTGTGGATCGGAGCCTTAAACATTAAAACATTGCCTGTCTAGACGTCAAACAAACAGCCACCCTTCTGGACCTGATGGTAAGTTTCATTCCACTTCCTGGCTGTGAAATGCTGTGAATTTAGTTAGCCTCCGATCCAAATACAGTAGATCCAAATGATGTCTATCCCATTTTCTGCAGCACCTTTTCAACCACCCAGGATTCGTGTCCAAAGGCAGCTACATGCAGCTACTCAAGAACAAAAATGGGGTCAGCACAATTGACTTTTGCTGCACAAGAGAGTCTCCAAGTCCAAGGACCCTCAAACATGTCCAGTCACGTAGCCCTGTTGAGGCTACGAGGCTCGCCTGAAACTGGGATTTTGAACCTCCAAGTAGTTCCTTCCCCAAACTCACACCCTTGCCAAGCGCTCTCTTTTTGTTGGATGCCGTCAGAATGGGCGGGCGTCGAGTCGTCGAGCAAACCTGGGGGCGGCACGGTGAAGCACGTCGGGCGAAGCTCTCGGCCAAAGGAAGGTGTGCATTTGGGTCGAACTGGTTGGCTGGGTCGAACCTCTGGAGTCTCTGGCAACATCTTTCTCCGAGTCTTTGAGTCCCAAAGTTCCACCAGTTCGAGCTGAAGAAACATGCACTTAACAAAGTTCCACCGTGTCTAGTCCTCTGATCTTTGAGTCTGAGCGAGTCTGTCCCAACGTGTCAGAAAAGCGAACTCAGAACGATCACTGAATCATCCTGGAGTGCAACATGGAAACCAAACATACTGCATGCTACCATGCATCACCGTGCACCGCCCCAATCTTGGAGCACCTTGATTGGTGTCTTGAAAATTTGTATATACGATATGTTTCGAGGTGTACAAAGCTGTTCTCCTTCCCAACTTTAAAATCGACAAGAGCCGGACTAGAGAGCAAACCAACAGTCTGGGCTAACATGCCCATTCATCCTGATTCTGATGTTAATGAAGAACAAATGCATCCCACCCTCCTCAAGACACCACAAACATGAGCTAGGATGTATCTGTTAAACTGGAAAGTTGCTCTGGCTCAACAAACAAAAACCTGTCCAAAATGTCCGTACCTATACCATGTTTGAGCGATATAGACTGGAAGTTCACTGTGTGAAAATAGTATTACCTAGGAACAAATACACCCACACATCTTTTTCAGCTGTTTACATGCCCTCCGGGCCTCAGCGTTGGAACTTCTTCACCATCTCCTGGTGTGTGTTTTCTGATTAAACATGCTGTTCAACTGCCAGGAAGAGTGAAGACAAAACTTTTTCAAACACGTGAAACATCGTGAAACACATTTAAGCTGTTTCCCTGCTGTCAACAAAGCTTAAAGACAGTTGAACAAACGTTTTAAGCAGAAGACATGATTGTGGTCATTTTTGTTCCAAGATACAAGCCTCACCTCCTAATGTGGAGATTCTGGTAAGTATATCATCAAACATAGGTTGGCTTGCCCCCTCTTGGCCCACCCAGAATTCGTCCGATCCCTTGTTCTCAAAGTTTTGCATCTGCGTGTGGCGTCAATTGGATAACTTGTTTACCTTTTCTCTTGGCCCCAAACACAAACTAATCATTATGTTGGATTTGAGCTAAGAGTCCGGGCTGGCAACTGCATCTATATGCCCCAGCGTGGGTGTAGCTTACACAACCACAAGGGTCTTACACAACACTTGCGGGGTGGTAGTCTATTTCCTTCAGACCTACGTCATCAGACCGGGGCTGGGAAAACCCCATGCAACGCGAAGCAATTCAATCTTTCAGCACCCAATCAGTTCAGGTGGTTCTGGCTGTGAAGGCTCCCTGACCCGTTCGTTTTTTTCCAAACACCTTCCCCAACTGGGTGCTGGTGAAACATCCGCTTTCAACGATCCAAAGGCTCCCTTCGCCGGTCTCCTGACTTGCAGGTGTGGAGAACATCTCCAGCCTCCAGTGAAACACGCTGAAAGGGGTTCAGTGCAGAGGTGTGATCCATTTTTGGCTTAGCTCCTTTGGACGGTGATGTTTTTTTCCTCCAGTGATGGGATATGATGGGATGTTTCCTTGGAGCATGTAGATTTGTCCGTTTGGGGGTCGAGCCTACAACAACAATCCCCTCATCATCTGAAGGGTTACAGCGGCCTCCGTTCCACAATGGATGGAATGCGACAAGAGTTGTGCCAGTGATCGCTCCGTACAGAACAAATCCAAAAGCCTGGTGGCGTGCGAGATTTTGGCACTAGCAAGCCAAAGACCAACGAGACGCCCCGCGGACCGCGGCGAGACACCGCGGCGATGGTCCGCGAAAGAATGCTTCACGGATAGCAACCGTTCCTCCACACAGGTGATACTGTATGACAGAGTTGAAAGTACATGTTCCGAAAGGGAACGATCTTCCCTGCCCACGTGATTCTCCCAAGAATCATTCTGGAGGCTTAAAACTCTCGTTGTTCGGTCGAGCCAGTCAAACGGTGTGTTGCCCGGGCAGCCAGGCATGGCAGGCTCTGCGCAAGCGTACTTCTCGGCCAGTGTGGGCTTCAACATCTGCTGGTAGAGGACCTGTTTGCCTGAGGACTCAGGAAAGAAGTCTTCAGCCCCAAACCGCAATGCAAAGTACAGGAAAACCACGAAGCTCGACACAATTTTTTGGAGATTCTGTGTCACGGTGTTTAAGGAAAAGGCAAACCAGAGTGTCACCAAACTAAAAACAACATGCAGCATGCATGTTTTGGCAAGATCATCTCTACATAGCAAAAGAGTTAGTAGTTAGTAGTCATCTACCAAGTGACCTAATTATGGATCATAGCAACAGGACTTCCAGCAGTGCCTCGTTGGATCTGCGCTGGGTCTGCTTTCGCGATCTTCTCCGCCACCTTGCGCGCCTCACCATGTTGGTCCAGAAATTTGGAGTGCCAGACCTGATGAAGCGAACATCTTTCCTCAACACATCCAAACATGTTTCCCGAAATCATCCATGTGACCTTTGGCTTGGCTGCCGGCTCACCCGACTACTCGGGTGAGCCGACCTAAGATCTGGAGGAAACATCGGGTATTCGGCTTGAGAAGACTCTCTACATGGCTGGGGCTGAAGGATTGAAAAGCAGGTGAGAACCCTCACAGGCAAATGGTAGAATCGTCTTATCATGTCAAACATGTATGTATGGATGACATCGAGTGATTAGTTGATTAGTTGAAAAGTTGATGTCAATAATTGTCCTGATTCAAAGCAAACAAAGGGGGACGATTGGTTCAGCTTTGCCAGCTAGAACGCTACTGAGTAGACATCCTACGGTCCTACTTGGCATGCCTAGCACACCGGCCATCCCTCGTCAACCTCACTGTAGAGCTTGGCTCGGGGAATCACACGGTTCACCAAGCCTGGCGTAGCGTCTGGGCATTGATACACAACTCCAAACGGCTCGCATATATTTGGTATAGTCTACACTGAGTTGCATTGAAGATTGTCCTTTCAAGTTTTCATAGGATGTGACTGGGTGTCCCACTTCCCCTGAGGTCTCCCCCTTTTGTGAAGGAACACAAGAAATGAGCGCACAAGCCTTGCTCGACAAAGAAACAGGAAGAACTATAACTATACTATCCAACGATTCTCTGGCTCCACTGTGCAGAAAGTAATTCAGGTGGAAGCTCCTGTCGAAGGTGACAATATCTACTATTCCCCGTCCGATGAACCCTTTTGTTTGAACACGTTCTGCAGTCTCGGCCAGATTGTATAGCTAAACAGTGTGTCGGTTTGAGTGTGCACACTGACACATTTCAAGCTCTCTAACTTGTGTGCTGCCGAAAAGGCAATTTCGATTTAAATGCCAAGTTTCCTAGATCCCAACTCCCACTCAATACGTGGTGTCACTGCCGCAAAGCCAGAACGCTCAAACAAGGAGGAGGTCCACGTTTCTGTTCATGTACCAATTTCTGCACTTCCTGGAGCCCCCCCCAATAGTCTTTTGCAGTACATCGTCCCACAACCGTTGTTGACCAAGTTCATTGCCAATCAAACCAAGTTGGTGGTAGCAAGGATGCCTCAGCAAGACCAAAGCCTTCTTCCTTGGACAGGGAAATGACGACAAACCTTTATGTTTTCAATGTTTTCCGAAGCCCGCGCCACAAAATGGTTCCCTCATGCGGATGGGCGCGTACTTCTCCCGTATGAACCACCGGCCATCGCGCCCTGGAGTCACGCCACGCGTTCGACACCTAAACGCTCCGCGCGCTCTGCAGGGATCTGACGGCGCGAGGGAACCGCAAACAGGCGGGGGTGACTGGCAGACCAGAACGAGTGGGTGAGAGGGTCTCAACATCATGCCAGGACCGAAAGCAAAACAAGTTTTACTGCTCCTTGTACCCGTTTTGTTCCGAGGTACTGACAGAGACTCCAGGAAGATATGCTACCAGAGTTCAGGCAACTCATTGTCCCATGTGCTTTGATGTGGCCGATCCTCAAAAGGCCAGGACCATGCTTCAAGGCCCACGCCTGGTGATGACCAACCAGTGGACCGTCGCCATTTGAGCAGATAGAGATCGACCTCCTACGGACCAATGGATGTATAGGTGGGCCGCCGAGTCGGAAGAAACCTCTCAAAGCGTCTCACAACCAGGTGAGCCAATGTGGTCTTCCGGATCAATCGAACTGCAAAACCCGTGAGATCTCTTGAGACACCTTCCCTATACTCCTATCTTCCCCACTCACCTACCCCTATCTACCTGTGGCAGTGAGAAGAGCTGCTCCTCGCATCTCCTCGCAGAAGCTGCTCCAGACTTCATGCACCCCCCCCAAGTTCGCGTTCCAGACGAAGTGGGCGCACCTCACTCTCCGCCGGCCCGTCGTCTCGCGCCTTCTCGGCCAGGAAGGCCATCTCCGCCACCGCTGACGCCGAGGTGCGCTGGGCGACGGCCACCGCCGGGGTGTGACCTCGGTGCGCTCTGCACCGCGGGCGAGACCCATTGGCCGGACCGCCGGTCGCCGGTGGCACCGGAGGATTTCCCTCCCCCTCAAGGTTTGCTACTTGGGGTGACCGTCAGAGAAGTGCTATTTGATTTTAGAGTGGGGAGGGGGGTCAGTCAGGCGAGGTCACCCAAGACTAAATATCTGCATAAGATTAATTGATCGACTAGGCTATTCATAAACTATGGTGAAACATGTTCCAAGGCCGGAGGAGACCAAATTCATTGGGGGTTATGTATAGAGGGATTCTATAATATATGGGGAAGCTTCTTTGGACACTCGAACAAGTTTTCTGTTTTGTTTTTTCCGCTTCCGAAGGGGCAGGAGGGTGTTATAAACAAGTTTATACAGTAACATATTTTCAGGGAGTGGTGTTGGGATTCTGGTGATTTGGGGGGATCTGTGGCCAGCTCGAGAGAGCAAATTCTTAGATGGGTCCAGAAAGCATTGAGATGCAGGACGAGCTGGTGGAGAAGGAACGTTGGAACCATTGGAAGACACGCAGGATTCCACCAGGATGAGCATCAGACTACATCTGGTCCAAGGGCGCCTCATCACTCCTCCATCAGGGATGGGCTAAGATCAGGTGATAAGTCAGGATCAGCATCTGCCAAGAGGCAAACAAGGTCAACAAGGACCAACAGAGGAAACAAGGTCAACAAGGTCTGAGGTATCATAGGATGAGGGATTGGTCCGACCATACTAATTGCAGTTAGTATTGAAACAAAAATTGTCCCAAAAACGGTGGACCAAACTGTGGGGGAGGGGGGTCCTGCAACATGTTCAATTTTTCAGCCAAAAGGTTTTTTGAAAGGCGTTGTACTCACCAAACTAATGAGGCCGGGGTATGTCCTATGTTTACCTTATACATGTTTCTTTTTGGAGCTTGGGTCTTTCGACTTGCTCCGCAAAGAAAGACTTGGAAGTCGAGAGTTGGCTCCGGCAGTTCGGTAGTTCGGTAGTAGTGCTTTCTTCATTCGGCTGTTCCGAAGGCACTCTACGGGGGTCTTTTCACATCTTTAGCATTGTTTAGCCACCAAATAGAGGATTCGTGGTATGGTTTCCCTGCAAGCCTGAGCCCTGGCTTGTCCACAATTTCACTGTTAAAGCACCCCAGGAAAGCCGATCAAGATGCCAAAACCCAAACTCCTTAGACTATAAACCTTTTGTTCACCAACAAGTGCCATGTGGACACGTCAACGTCCGTCACGCTGACACGAATGAACAACAGAGAAACTTATATGGTTTTGGTCCACTGGCTGTGCTCGGTTGCGAATCAAGAATCACTACCCCACCAATCTGGTCGCAAAGAGGAAGGAACTTGTGAAAGCAAAACGAGGTTCGAATGCTTGGACTGTGAGGAATGCGTAAGGAGCATTCAGGATGACTCCAAACTCTTCTGTAGAGTAAAAGGAAATTCAGGAATCAGGCGGGTGACCCAGGTACCACTTTTGAGAAACTAAAATCCGGTGACAGCCCAAGTGGTTGCCTCAGCTTTCACAATATATATATATATATCTGCTGATACTGTTTGGACCTCAACAGCGCTTTTCTTCGACACTCTGGTAACTTTTAATGGCATTTAAGTCTGACCCCTCAGTCTGGAGTCATTGGTGTACCAGTGTACCCTTGTTTGCAACACGCCCCTAAGACCGACATCGACTCTCCAAAACGGTTCAAGCGTTCTCCCCCCCCGAAAAAAAATGAAAATATCGAAAAATTCTCTAAACCACCCTTACACAACAAAATTTATACAACATGCGATCCAACGGATTTTCGGGGCCTTCAGTCAATTCATGGAACTTCCTGATAAAGACGGAGCTGCAGAAGCCACCATTGGCCGCTCCTGGCAGCTGGAAGGCAGCGGTGTCCGCTGCGAGAACCAAATCGCCTGGACTGGAGGTGGAGAGGAGGCCGTCGTTTTGGCTTTGGAGACGGTTTGGGCTCCCAAGGTCAGACTTTTGCAGGTTCATGAGGTCTTGAGGTTTGGTTCAGGTCTGGGGTTTCTGAAAAAGATGCTCTTCTCCAAATTTGGTCAAAGACGGGGACTGCATTCACTACTTTGATCACCTCGGCTGTCGTTTCCCGTCAATTGCTATAGACTTAGTCCCCAAGACACCCAAGAAATGCAACAGTTCAACGCATGCGTACCAGCTGATACAGAAGATTCACTGTTCCATCTGTTGGCAGCTCAGATCCGTTTCTCTGGATGTACGTTTCTATATGTTGTTGGGGGTGACCAATACTGGCAAGAAGGAACGTACGGCAGTTTTCGATTCAAGGCGCAGGAGCATGCGAGTTGACACCCGGCAGCGGTGGCCAGTCCCTGCACCTGGGAAGCCCAGCGAGAAGCGTTGAAAGGTAGATGACCATGCCTGGGGAAATCCCCTTCAATCGAATGTCTGAGTCTTTACTACTGATACTATCATCCTCCGTGAAATTCCCATGGCCGGTCTGGGCTCCACACTTTATAGCGATAAAATTAATAGTTTCCCCCACCTTTTTTGAACGGTAGAATGGATTACCCCATCTAAAAGGATGAACACCAGCTCACTATAGAATGGGGAGTCCAAACCGACCAAAACCAAGCAAAATGACACCTTTGTACGCATATAACCAAAAATAGAGCCAACGATAATTTGGTTTACCCCACCCTGCTTTCAAACGCTCATTGGGTCAAAATGAAAGCTCAAGTGCACACATTCAAAAAACAATTCTGCAAGGGGTCAGGATTGCAAGCAAATGGAAGCTTCATAAAACAGCTGACGACGACGGACAACAACATTTCTGACTCTTACTGTGCTCGGTCTCTGTTTATGTTCCGCTCTATTGACAGTGTATATGCTTCGCATATACCATTGGACAACATCCACCATTCATAAAAACTACCACTAGGGCTCTCCTCCTTTCTTTCTATCTGTGAAGCTGCACAACAAAACCCAAACATAAAATGTCTTGAACAGTCCCTTCAATTCTGGCAACTCCACCTTCTGGCAATGTCTCGGCGAAACATGAGAACTCATCACCTACAACATCCAACAACAGCATCCTTCAATTAATATAACTTAACCATGTATAACCAGCATCTCAGAACAACAGAAATGCCTCAGTTATTTCTTATGTCTGCGCTTTTCATTGAGCCAAATGGCATCTTTTTGTTTGGCTTCAAGAATGCTCGGCTTATAGAATGGCTGGAGTCCAGGTCCTAAAACAGCTCATGATCTGAGATTGTATGAAGATTGGTTCTCCATAGAATGGACAGAAGTCCACTCCAAAAAAACTGTCCAGAAATTGACTGCCCCTCCACTTTTGGAGTCTCTTTAACAAAGCCATGTTGTTCATAGAGCCGTTTTATGCAGGAGCCTGGGCGGACAGATTTTATATGTTATTTTTTCAACGGTGATATACATGATATACTATCTGTTTTTGGGCTTCAGCTGAGAAAAAGCATGTGTCTGTCACTTGTGAACTGCTTCAGACATCCTGAAGGTCCTATACCTATATGTCCCTATATGGTCTTTGCTGAATGAAGCAACTGATGAACAGGTCTGCAAAAAAACAGGGCAATCTGTTTTGCCTCCCACAGGTTAAGAAAGTCTACGCAGCGTGCGTGCGGGCCTCCGCAGCCGCCTTCAGGTTGCAGAACTGAGTTTCCGGGCTACGGCAATGCTGGGTGGTGCAACCTCCCTCAGCAGCATGTTCACCTCGCTGGAGGTCCACTTCTCACTGGGTCTGACTGGGATTCATGGGGGCCAGCGATGCGGAGGTCATAAGGAGGTAGGCGGACCATCATCCCAGATTATCCCAACTTAAACAACCAATGCTGATTGTGATTGGCCACATCAAGTCATGAGTCAATCAGTTTTGCGGGACAACTTGGCTAAGCCCGGCGGTCGGTGGTCGCTTCATGTTCAAGGCACATCTGTGAATCAGAAAGCGTTTCATGGCCAATTCCGCATGGAAAAAAGCAACCTTCTACATGACTCTGTTAATACAATGCGGCCAATATACTAATTCTGACTACATGGCCAAAACGATTGTGATCGACCTGCCACTATCACCAAACCAAACAATCGTTTGGTTCGAATCAAACCAAACACGTTATCACACTATTTTACCTATGTAAACATCCCTAAACAAACTCTGTGTTCTTTTCAATGTGTGCTTGTTTTGGTCTTTTCCGAAAGCGCGATGTCAACCACGATTATAGTTCTCCTTTTGAAGAAAGACAAGAAACACACAACATGCATCACCATTCGCTACTCATTCGGCTCATTTCTGGGGAGAACAACACACACACACACCTGATGCACACGTCACCACCCGAATGGAAAGACCCCTGTCTTTGGTTGGTTTCGGCGGGCCTCGGAACAGAGCTGCAGCGTGCGGCGGTGCTCCGCGGCGCCCAGCTCCGCGGCGAAGTCGCCGAAGCGGTGCCCGGAGCTGAAGACGGAGCCCTGGGACGGCGCAGAGCGGGTCGGCTCAGAGGCGACCCGGGGGGGGGCGTTCTGTGTCGGGAGATCGGGTTTTTGGATATGGAATGGGGCTGAGGAGGGTATATATAGTATTGGGATTTATTTATATGATTCATATGATGTCGTTGTTGTTGATTCTATCATTTAGAACCGTTTCTTTTTTTCTGTGCTGAATGGTGTTGATGGTTTTGTCTCGGTTTGATGAAGCTTTTTCTTTGGTGCGGGCTGTTCCATTCCCCGCTGTGGGTCACGGTCGTGAGAGATGTGAGAGTGGGCCCTTTTCGTGACCATTTGAAAGGGGCTGCTCAATAGGATTCTATAGCCTAGCTTCCAAAGGAACTGGGTGAGTGCTTGTAAGCCCTAGGCCCCCTAGACTCCAGCTGCCGACAATGGTGACGTCCTTGGGGTGGGTATCAACCAAGGTCTTGCAAGGTCTTTGTTGGAATCTTCGCCACCTTGCCAAAACGCTCTCCGCGCTTCAGTTCTCAGCAGACCTGCCTGGGACTCCAAGAGGAGCACTCTGGTGCTGCTGGGCAAGGTCTGCAAGAGTTCTTTGAGTGCGGAAAGAACCTCCGCTCCCGTGAACTCCACGCTCGGACGGGTCGAAGCGTGCGTTTCTTCTTCGACTGCCTCACTCCCGTCGCACAACTCGTCCGGTAACGGGCCCAGTGGGAAGACGGGATCGCAAGTTTGGGCCCCACAATGGATGTGGCATGAAGCTAGGAAGCACGTACATCATGATCATTATACTCGAAGGGATCCAAGAACAATGTGCACAGTTTCATTTCAGGTGCAGTTTTGATGAGTTTTCCTGTCCCAAGAGGGTGGGGGAAACTCGTTCAACGCTGTTGTTCTCTTGAGTCTTCCGACTCGTGAAGCCAAGCCCGAATCGGCCCCAGGCACCGGGCGGCTCAGGGCGTTACGCGTCTTGGGCGCTGCAAGCGTCACCGTGAAGACCTGCGGTTTTGGATGGGACGGTGGATGAACGTTGGATGGAGAGGAGAGGAGAGGAGTACAGGCACGCCCTGGGTGGGCGTTGAAAGTCAAGGGTGTTCTGACAGGAAAACCCCCAAAGAAGACGCCAAAGCGTCAATAGTGAAGAGTTTGAGGTTGGGGCAGTATTTTGGACCTTAGAGAAGTGGACAAGCAACGACTTGCAGCCAGAATGGTAGCGCGCAAGTCACTTGCCTTTACAATTTGCATCTGGATGCCCAGCAATCTCTCACTCTTCGTATCTCTTGATTGGGGAGGTGTTCCTCAGCTGACATTTGCTGTTTCGATGACTTGCTTGAGATGAATTGCTCCCACTGTTGCTTCCATAACGCCACTCTCCACCCCCTTGTCGCAACAAATAGTGGAGAGACTGGATGCTAGTTTGCCTAAAAAACCACTGTTCAACCCCCTAGCGACGTTGGAACACTCAGTGAGTGTGACAGAGTGTGTGACGTCGTCTCTGAGACACCCCAATCATCTGAAGAATCTGACCTGCAACATGCACGATTCTTGTGAACCCCCAAAGAGTCACATACCTTAGACCCCCAACACCTTCTTGGATCCCCCATTGCAGGTGATCATAGACTTATCCAAGCCCTACTTGAGTCAGCATCCCAAAGAAAACCGCAACCAGGTGGTTCGATATAGGTCCCCCCCTCCTTTGGGAAAGCCCCCCAGTTGCATGAGACGATCCACCGATCCACTCATCTAGCCGCACCACACCTGCGAGGCACCGCACAGCCGCCAGCGCACAGCGCCCTCGGCGGCTTCACCCGATGCAGAGGCCTGGGCGTGTGATGGGTGCGCTCCAGCCGCGCCGAGGCGGAAAACCAACCGAAGTACATCGAGCGCATCGGAGCGCCTTTCAACAAGCGCACCAGCTGAGCGCCTTTCAATCCAGGTGTACATCTTAAGGCTATAGGGATCGGGTCTCGGAATCCAGGGATGGATGTTGTTGTTTTTAAGGCTCGGGCTCGGGTCCGTGGATCCCTTTTTGGGGGGTTCATGTGAGGATGGGTTCCCCGGTCAGCTACGCCCTGCACGAACCACCAGGTCACCACCCAGCACCTTGGTGTCTCCCAACACCACCAGCAAGGACCAAGGAGACTTGATATAGAGCCTGCGTATGTTTTTTCTTCTTTCTGGCTAAGGCTTCACCAGCAGGCCTTACAGACCACTATGGAGCACCGGCCCTTGTGCCTAGCAAAATACCATGAAACACCAGCCCAGTCATCACTGTTCGGCGCACCTGTGGTGGGATCCACTGAGGATCAAAGCCCAACTCCTTGACGCAGAGGATCCACAGATGGAAGGGTTCCTATTTCACCAATCACTATGAGGACCACCGAGACCAAGTCCGTGGTTGGATAATTGGATGGTTGGATGGTTGGATGGTTGGATGGTTGGTTGGTTGGTTGGTTGGTTGCACGACACCTTACACTAGAATACAAACCTGAAAATACTCACTTTAGATACTCTAGTCTAAACTCTCTGTTAAACGATATAAATGTAATTCTGGGTAGTGTTAACTGATCCCCTAAGGCCGAAGGCACCTCATGAATTCACGTGAGGGCCAACATCTGAGGTACAGGTTTTCCACAACATATTCTTCTCAAACACACCTGGTATAGTACACCAAGTAGACCCCATGTTCGGTTCTTCGTCTCGTTTCTCCTTGGTTAGAGCCGATCCAGCCGGGAAACAAATAGAATGGGATCCAGCAAAAAGATGTCACCCCCTCAGCAGGCAACGCCTTTGTAAAAACTTTAACTAATTCATGATTGTAAACCGCTTGTGCAACCCTAAGAGCTTGCATCTTATAACGCAAACTCTCTCACCTTAAAGGCCTTTCCCACGTCAAAAACCACTCACGTTCATCTGTGTCATCATGTGTCATCTCACCTCCTGTTCCCAGTCTGCAAAGGTACAAACACAGTATCCCCCAATGCACCACAACCATGTCCCATATGTATCCATATGTCCTACGTCAGGCAGCCAAAAGAATTGCTGTCTACCAGCACCGACCACTGGACTCACTGGACCACTCTTTTGTGGACCCTGGGCTTCTGATCGGACACCAATTCATCAGGAATGCGAATTTCTGATCCTCAAAACGTGGCCATGGGGCCGCCGTGGGGTCGACAACATGGGCTTAGCTCGGTCTCCCCAACCAGTGTCGACCCAGAAAAGCTCGCTCCACCAGCAAGCATGGCCCCGAATGGATCAGACCTGGCGCAGCAGGTGAGATGCAAACAACACATGAGGACGAGGGGAATTTGATCGGCTGCATCTCAGGCCCGCTTTCATGCTGAATAATCCTTTTGTAGAGCCTATTGTTCATTGCACAGCACCGGCTTCCCCATTATTGTTAATGTATTGTTTCTAAAGCAAGTAGAACTGTTTGGTGCCACTGGCAAGCTTTTTATGCAAAATCTTGGCCCCAGGGATGAAGGATGCAAAAGCAAATGACGACGACACCGGTGAAAACCCCGACACCAGGCCTAACTGCAATTCCTCTGCTCTTTGGAGGACCTGAAGAGTGTCGGGGGTTCGGGGCTGTAGATTTGGACTCATCTGGGTTGCTGCTAGTTGGACTCCTCTGGTTCTGCTTATTATATATGCATGCTGCATGCTTGTTTTCTGATGTTTTCTGCTTCCTCGTTGTTGTTTGGTTCCCATATGGCCATCTCCATTTTTTGCAAACCGGAGCTGCATGGCTGTGTTGGGTGCCAGGCTACCATCCCCTTCATTTCCAAGTGAAGAATAGAGACATTTTTGGAAGGTTGATGATCTGGAATATGAATCTTCGAGTGATTTATACAGTATACAGTATAATATAATATAAACATTCAAAATTTATACATGGTTGCCCTCTGCACGGTGGCAAACTCACCCCAGATTGTGGATCTGGAGCCAAACCATGAAAAACATGGTGACGTTGGGAACCCACATATGCCATGAGTAATGATATGTGGTTGGAAACCATCTCGTTGTGGAGGTTCGAACACGACACACCATGCATGAACTTACCACACAGAAGCTGCTTTGCTAAGTGATACTAAGCCACACAGGTCCTTCTGCCTTGTAACCATTATGCTCCCAGTTGTTCCACCTGTACTCAAACAACTCACATTGAAATCCCTGCAAACATCCTCCGCACCCCCCAAAAAACAAACAACGTCAATGACACCATGTGACCCCTGAATTCGTGCCAACCTCCTCACCGGAGTCACGAACCTTCACCGGACGTTGGAGGTGGACGAGCCTACGAGCCTCAGGAGACTCGGAGCCCGGTTGCAGCCACAAACGCTGGATCTTCAGCTCCTGGTGGTTGGACTGGTCTCCGCCAGTCCAGACCTTCAAAGGACCCAAGGACTGGAGACGGGACAGGACGCTTCTGCCCGAAACTCGGGAGCCCTCTAGATTTGGGTCTATCCTATTACCTGGGCCCAGTGGATGATGATGGTTAGTAAAGGCCTTGTTCAAATATGATGATAATTGTTTACTGACTGTTACAGGTAATAGGACAAACCCTACCTCGAGGATCCATATATATATTAGATATTCAAGGGTGACAACATCAGGAGAGAGCAACTGCGCTACAATTGTGGAGAGCCTGGTTTGGGATCAGTGGGGGCGGCTCTATACTGGCTCTAAGGGATTTGCAGAGAGGAACAAAACCGGTTCAACTGTTGAATACCCACCTATCTCTTCAGTCATGGGTGCCATCTTCTGAAATCCGTACGTTACATCTACCAGGGTCTCCCCTGTGTCTTCAGTGATGAGATCAAAAGGTCTGGAGACCTCACTCCACCTGGTCTGGACGTTTTTCAGACCCCGACACAGGTGAGTGATCCCCCGCTGGTCTTGCTATGCCAAGCCCACAAAACGGAAAACAGCACCTTCTTGAACCCCAAACTCTAGGTGTTTAAGGGCTGTGCTCTTGATTATATCCTGATCAATATCCTGATCAAGTGCAAACTAGCACATCATAAAAATGTCCCACAACCGATGGACACGGACAAAGATCGCTGGCAAACGTAGGGATGAAGACATGGATCGACATAGTGAACTTTGCAAAAGCACATTGTCACATTGACATAATCAATCTCATCGATACTTCCATGGCCCAGGCCACAGGGGCGCAGTCCTTCGCAAGGTCCAAGAGTTGCAAAGTGACCTGGACTTGGGAACTGAATCAGTTACATGGGTGGCTGTTCAGGTATGTGGGGTCTTTTCTGGGGAGGATAGGCATCTGTGACTATCGAACAAACACCTTCTTCCTTCAAGAAAGTATCGGCGAGCCACGCACGTATCGGGGCGGCTGGAATTGGCAAGGTGTTGCTTGCCACTTCTCATTCTCCCTCTTAAATGCCACACTGTGATCAATTTCGAGGACCATGGGGCAGTTCACCATTGAACACATATCACCCCGCTTTCCTGTCCTTAGATCTTCTGCTACTGTAAGGGTTTGTAGGGGCTTTTTGGGTCAAGTTGACCAAAGGAAGTTTTTTCGTCCACCTTATCCCTTCATCAACACCTGATCCCCAAAGCGAATATCCTGCCATCCTGCCCTCCTGCCTTGGGCGGTGTGATCACGGACACCCCGTAGTGCTCCGCGTCTCTCCCCAGGTCCTTGAGGGAGGAGATGCACGGAAGACCTGAAGCTGATCATGCAACATATGGCGACCAACATATATCTTTGCTGTCAAAAACAGTACCCTAGAAAAAAACTATTTATGTATAGGTTGACATGTTATAAAGTTAACCAGGATTCCTGTGTTTTTCACTCACATCCACGGGCGTCACAGGGATGTCCAAGCACTTGCCACCTGTCTTTCGGTGTCCAGGTTTTGACTCTCTGGGCGATGCGTTCTGGATGAGAACAGGGCGGTGTGAAGCGAGTTCAGCGATGTGAAGAAGAACCCACACCATGCGGCATGCCATGTGCATTGTGTATACGTGACAATCTCATGAGATGGTATATAGAGGTACATTGTACATTCCATGCAGACGTATTTTTCCTCAGACTCTGCTTGTGTTTGGGATGGCTTTATGGATGCTTCACACTCCAGAGGCCAGGGGGGTTGTCAGCTCAGTGGCATAGCATTCTCACTCTTGAACGTCTCGTGGCCGAGCTGTGGCCGGTGTGAAGGAACACATTGTAAAACACGTCATGCAACTTCCATCCCTGCGGAACCCTTCAGAAGTAATTAAGTAAGATCATGTTTGAATATATACCCCCCCAGCTATCCACAACAGGTGTGACTTTTTGTTCAGTTCTGTTCCCCCCTGTGAGCGTCACAGCCCGTCACGTGACCCAAGAGGTTCACGTCGTGACCGCGCGGTTCTGCTCCGTTCCGCTCCACCCAGTTCTGCTCCGTTCCGGCAGACCCGGCAGGTAAGAACTTATCTCATGTTCTCCAGGACGGTGAGTTCTTCTCAAGTCATAAAAGGGGAAGTACAATGAGGTATTCAATGCCGCTCTAACCATGACGTCATCCCAAACCAAGCATCACAAACACGATGTTCCCAACCATTTCCCCAGCTTTTTGTCTCTTGTCATCACCCACAAACCGACCTAACCGACCCCGCCTTCGATGACCGTCTGTGTGAGGCTCACAGGCACGGCAGAGAGGCCGTGCTGAAGGTAGCAGCGTAGGACCTGAAGGTCGCCGAAGCGACGAACTCCTCCACCGCTCCACGGAGCACAAGAGAAGGTGGCGGGAGAGAGTCCCCGCGGAACGGGCGGAGCGCGGAGGCGCCTTGTTCCCGAACTTCTGCCGCTCCGCGGAGGCGCCCACCACTGCGAAGCCATGGGGTGCTTGGAGGAAGCCGCTCACGCTCAGCTTCGAGGCGGTGGCCTTGGACGAGAGGGGGCGGGAGGGGCCAGGGACTGTAAAGCATGAAGTGATGGCACCCTGGGAAATAGAGCATGACCCTGCAAAAACTGGTACTTGCACCCATGTTCCAAGGTACTTGGAGAGCACAGTTGATCGAATCATGGCACGATTCCTCCCAAGTTGCCGCACCGTTCTGACAGAGAACCGGTTTGAAAGTGAAGTTTGGACTTCCCCATGTCTTTAACACAGCCGAGGATATCTTTCCCCCTCCCCCCCAAAAAAAAACGACCGACGCACTCGCGCACCTGTGCACGCAGCGACTTAGCGCAATTGGTCGAGTTCGGCAGCAGGTGCTGCTGGAGTCGCTGCAAACGCTGCATTTGATGCAGAAAAGTCTGACAGTGTAGGTCACCAGGGGTCTTCTGACATATGAAAGAAGGCTTAGAGGAACTTCAATGTGATCGAACAAGAGCAACAATTGGTGGTCTCAGGACCAAGAATCAGTTTGTTAAACTTGGTTGATCCCTTGCAGGGGGGATATGCCGAGGTGGCGATACATCTTATGGATTTGCAGTGTGTGTGTGTGTGCTCATGTGCTCGTTGAGAGGCCGTGACGCCGTCCATCGCAGTCACTGACCACTCGGGCCAGTGATGCGTCGACCCAAGCGTCGCTGGTGTGTTTGGCGGCGAGGAAACGGAGATGAGCGATCGACTTGCTCCGAGACTCAGCAGATTCCCAAGTGGAATCCCACACACAACCCACGAGCACCGTTTTTGAACGGGCACATATGCTGCCAGGCCAGGCGAATGGTGGTTAGTGTGGTTGATTTCAGGGGGTCGAGAGGATGGCATAGAGATAGTGTCTCGGAAGGGACTGGTTCATGCAATGGACCACGGTTTGGGAGAATTGGGTCACAAAAAGAACACATGACCCAACCGCGGGCCCTGTGGGGGTCTGTCGTCAGCTCCACCAAATTGGCCCCCCGAGGTCACTGATCACCCTCTTGTCCAGAGGTCCAAGGTGCCGGAAACCCAGCTGGACACTGGCAACAAACAAGTCATATACTCCAAGTGGGCAGTAAGACTCACCTCTTCGATTGACCAAACAAAAACATTCGATATCATTTATAGTGGAAGGGAGATCATGTTACGTTTGTTTTGTTCGACTGTATGTTCCCTTTTCTCCGGCAAAAGCCCCCAAGTGTTGTCTGTGTGGAGAAACATGATCAACACACATCAACCAAAACCGGTCCAGCTGAGTTGGGGGGTTTCGTCTTTGAAGCCAATTAAAGTCGGCAAAACATTGCAACAAACACCTCTGTTCCATCTCCATACCCCAAAAAGTACACCTGCCAAACTTCAAGCTGTTAGTAGGGTCATGGCCATGTCCGCGTCCGTCTTCGTTCGGGGCGCCGGAAGATGGCGCCTCCCAGCACCAGCGCGCCGGCTCCTGATGAAGACTGGTCCTCGGTCCTCATTTAATTCCAATTACTCAAGAGATACAGCCTACTCTAGATGCGTATCTACGGGGGGTACGGGCACTACCCCTTTTTTGAGATCATATGCTAAGGTTGAGGGTATCGGTATCTCAAGATCCAAGCCTTCAACATTTGAGAACATTCCTGCTGTAAAGGACCCATACAGGGCCCATACATGGCTGTACAAGCTGTACAAGACTGTTGTCGCAGAACAAACTGGGTTATCCGGGATCCCCCCAAACATGTTCCACCACTTTTAACTTCTATATAAACCCAGTTTGTGTGCTTCTACAGCCGAGATGCACGGTCTTGTGCCAGTTGCAGGTACTACTGCTAACATCTCTACACTGTGAAAGAAACGGCTATCATATGCCTATGCTATCATCATCTCATGTAGCATAAAATACAGTAGCGGAATAGACGAACCTTCCAAGAAGTGGACAGTCATTTCATGAACCAAAGACCTGCCAAAAAAAATCATACAGCAATGGCTTCTCAGTAGAAGAAGTGCTACAACATTTCAGCTCCAGGATCACCGGGTCGAACTCTACAAAGGGACGGAGGGGGGTCACTTCATACATGGTCTTGAACATCTCATGCAGGGTAAGAACATCGGTCTGAGCGGTATCGACGTGATGCCTGGAGCCTAGAAGAAGAGCCTCCAGGGTGTCCGGTATCAACCCACCCTCCGGTACCTCACACAGATCCGCGAAGACGGGGAGTTCCGGGGTCCTCCAGGCGATCTCCATTGGGCCTCGGCGCCGGTGGGGCTGGGTGGGGCAGTCATGAGACTTGGGCTGAAGAGACGGGAGGCAGCAGGTTTAGTGGTGGAATCAACGCGGAACAAACGACGCACTGTGGTGTGACATGGCTGATTCTTCCTGCCAGCGCCCATTAAAACCACAAAACACATCGCAGGCCTACAGCAGAAGACCTCGTTTGAATAACAAACCTCGTTCCGAACCTGTCATTTGACTCCTGACCTGGGCACGACCTTTGTGACTTCCGTTGGTCCCCATCTTCCAAACAAGGGGGTGAGCCACCGTGTTCAGGGTACATTGGTTTCAGCGTATAGATGGGGCTCCATGCTCCATATAAACAACCAAACTTGGGGGATTTGCAATCATCTACTCTCAACCACTATATCAGGCTTTGACCTACCGCCTCCAGCTCACTCTCTTTCTGGGCTGACCGATGCCTCTTGACGCCTCTGTCTGAGAACCCCAGCGGCGTCGCCATCACCCCACTCGGGCGGCCCTGAAACACGAGATGAGAGAAGATCATGTCGAATCACCCAACTCTATACTGGATTATAGCACCATGGCCCATATATAGATCATGGAAAGAGTGAGTGGAATTAGCACCACCAAAGAAGTGGAATGTGGCTAGTATTTTCTTATTTCTGACAATCGCTGGAGGACGCAGTACCGTACCCGGCCGTACCCCCTAAGAACCCTATATATATATATATATAGTAGCAATGAGGATTTTCTCCCCTAACTGAATCTGGTTTTCTGGATTTTGCGCCATTGGGGACGTGCAATTGCTGGATGTCATTCACCATGGCTTGGGCAGCCGCTGCATCGGATGATGATGTTCCCTCTGTTCGCTGGTTCACATGTGCCAGAGAAAACAGAAGCCAAGAGACGCGACACAGTTGCTACAGGTTCCAAGGACTAAGAAGTATGCCAATTATATAGTAATATATATATATACATAATAATTCATCTAAACGGTTCTGCTGTCCCTACCTGCGAACCTGCAGTTCCTACCAATTCACGAGACTTGAGATCCTTTCTTTCCCGTACCGCCAGCCCCGATGCAGGAACGTTCGTCGTTCGTCCGAAGCATGGTTCGTCGTCCACGACCCAGGACCCAGTGTTTTTGCAAGCCGCTTTTGGATCTGACCACATCTTCTTACCACCCAGAACCTTTCCAAACACCCTTGTTAAGTAGGTTTCTGGCACATGAACGATGTTCTGGCGCCGTTCATTTCGATTCACCGCCAGGTGTCCGGACTGGCGGCGTCTGGCTGCGCCGCTCGCGGGTCTGGCTGCGTTCATCAGCTCGCTGTCGAGGGCTTCTGGCGGTGTCAAGTGCAGTGTCTTGGGCACCGCAAGGAACTGATGCATCAAAGACTGACTGGTGCGACTCGTACGGAATGAGTGAATGAGCCCCCAATAGAGATTCCTTTGGATCCAGCCACCCTCATTCCCTACAAGTCGCAACAGTCAGAAGAAAGGGTGATGAGCCCTGAGTGATGATCCTGCAATCCATTGGAATCCACGTTCCACACAGCAACACTGGCCAAATCGACTATCCACCATAGAGCCATTCTCTCCGTGCTTTCCTCACATCCTATAGAACCACATACCTTTTAGGAAGTGGGATGAAGTGCATCTCCTCATCTTGGGGTACTGCACCTGCTCATCTTGGCTCTGTCTTTCTCGACCACTTGACATCTCTCCCGGCGCGAAACCTCAGCTCCCCGTGCAAACGCAGCTCTCGCACGCGGAAGCCTCCCGCCTCTCCCGGTGTCGGACGCTCAAGGGCTCCTCCCAAAAGGTGCGCGGAGCTCGCGGAGAAACTCTTCGAGGTCTCTCCCTTGGCTCACGCCTCATAGCTGTGGGGATCTGGTGGGGCGGGGCGGATTTGGCGTGGCCAACTGATCACCATGGAAACCTTCCGATGGAATCAGGTCATCAACTCAACTCCAGCTGTTCTTTCACTGGAGGTGATTTTAAGGTATAGTGCAGTGCATCAGCCAACAACGGGCTACACCTTCTAAACACTGGCTTGTAGGCCGTAGCTTCTTTCTTGAAGAGTTCCTACCAACCGGTGGATGAAAAGTCCTACGCCTTTATCGATATTGATGCAGTCTTGTATGCAACCCACAAAGACATTGTGCGGGGGCGTGCTTAATTCCATTGTGAAGTCATTCTGAACCTGCCGTGGTAGTCAGCCAAACCCTCGAAACACGCTCATAGGTCCGAGGTTCGGTCCTCAAAGCCGAATGGATTCGGGAAACACGATACCCGGAATGGAGACAGTGGTGTTTGCGAACAGAGTGGGCTCTTGGCTGGACTCTCAGAGGCTTGAAGGCCTCGGGACTCCCTCACATGGGCTAGACCTGAGAAACCCGCCTCCTCTAGCCCTTCTGATAGACTATGTCAATTCTAAACGATGATAAAACTGGCAACCATGCAGCCAGATCAAAAGGACTCGTGGAACAAACATTGACAACATTCTACTGGGATTGTCTGGTCCACAAAAATTATCTACCAGACACAAGTGGTTATTGAACCTTCTTCAATTCAAAATTCCTGAACCAAACTGAGGCTCCAGCGAAGCGAGCCTGGCAGAGAGCGGCCTCTGGCAGAGTGGAGAAACTTCCCAGAAAAAGGGCTGATAAAGCATGGCTGAAACATATTGATACAGGAAAACAACCGGTTGCATACAGCACCTGTGGAACAATTGTGATAAAAAGTCGCCCTCAACAATTGTTATAGCATGTCAGCGAATGGTAAAGCGTCCGAATTTCTTGTGGGAGGCTACGCTCAAAGGAAGGAACGCAGGATGATCCTCGTACTCCATTATTAAGGGTATACTACTTATATAGTTGTCTCAAACCAAATATGCCAATGATGGTGCAATGGTACAGAAGTGTCTGATACGACCAAGTCAGGTGCCTCCCCCGTTCGACTCGAGACACGGTACACTCAGTCTGTCAGACCCGCCTGGGGGAGCGATCCAGGGCCTGGGCGAGGGCAGCGGGGCGGATCCTGAATCCGATGTCCTACATTCCAAGGAGCACGGATCATACTTGCAACCTATGATATAGGAGTCTAGGAGTCTAGGATTAACTGTTAAGTGCTCCTGGAACAAACGAGATCACCGAGATCGACGTCAGCGAGATCGCCTCTGCCGCGTTGACGGCGTAAGAAGACCCGTACCTGCGGCAACGGTGGGCAAGGCAGGACTCCAGATCCGAGCTCGCCCGAGGGGGGGGGCTCGAGCATGTTTGGTTCCACTTGCCAGTGAAACCTTGCCCGGTTAGGCACCACGTAAGGAAGTTGTGATGACGCATGAAAACAGCTGAAGACCCTCTTTTTGCCCTCTTATTTGTGATGCATCTCCCATGGTTCTGCGAAATAGAAAACAAAACCGGCCGATGTCCTTGAGACTCTTCTCTGCACTCAACCGCCTACTGGAATCAGGTCATAGCTAGTGGTCATAGCTGGTTGCTTTTTCTTGTTGTTTTTCCTGATTCAACGGCGCCTCTTCCTTGGATATCCGGGGGTCTTTACAAGGCTTCGTGTGGAGCGCCCGTGTCGTCGACCGCAGGCATCGACGCGTTCAGCAACGAACCCACAGCGAGTTCCATGCGGTGTCGGTGCTCAAAGGCGGATGCGGATCGAAACGGCCGGCCTTTCAGGCATGGCACGAGCCAGGAGGTCTGGCCGGGATGGATTGCCTGGCGGATGCCGGGTTTTGCGTTGGATGTTAAGGGGTTCACATGTCTTCACTCACCCAGTTCAGCTGATCTCACAAGCTCCGCTTCTTTCAATGAACGCTCTTCAGGCTCGGGTGGTTCACGGCTCAGCACGTGGCGGGCGGTCCACTGGGTTGAACCAAAACAACCAAGAGGGGTTGAGAGACCAGAACTAGGAGCCATTTTTTGGTGGTACATATACCTGGAACCCCAAACGATCACCGTTTTTTGAGTGCCAATCAGTTTTGTGACGCCACATGGCATTGGTGTTCTGTTTTTGGGTGTTTGGCTCCAGGTATAGGATGGGCTGTTTAACACGGGCTGTGAACAACCTCTCTGTTCAGCAACACGGGTTGCGACGAAACAACTCATATCGGACGTTCACCGTTTTTGTCAGGTCGAAGCGGTTCGCGCCCGAAAGCACCCAGGCGAGGCGCGTCCAGGTGAGGCGGAAGTACTTAAGCTATTATATGCTATTATAGTTCCTAAAGAAAAGGGGACGCTGTGGGGGTGCGCTATTTTCTATGTTTTACACGCAAAATCAGCCAAAAGAGTATGTGATCAAAAGACATCTGCTTTCTCACACACACACTTGTTAAGTGGCACAATCTGCTGGGAAGGTATCAAGAATTTAGAAACAACCACAAAAAAATCAAAAAAAACAAAGAATCTAAAATTCCAAAAAATCCAAAAATCCAAAAAATCCAAGAAATCCAAAAAATCCAAACATCCAAAACATAGGTATGTTTTTTTTTTTTTTGATTTTTGGATTTTCTGGATTTTTGTTTTTTTTTGGATTTCTTGGATTTTGGGGAATGCCTCTACCGAAATGGGCCTGGCGCACACAAGTATGTTCACACACAAATGTTTGAGACTGCATGGTTTCAGGAGGCTCTTGACATTAGACCACACATGACCTAGGAGTATGCCACCAACTTCCACTAACATAGAAATGAGATAAAAAGCGCTTGTGCAAATTCTACTGACTGATGACTTAGACGTTGTGGCCCCCAACTCCTATCTCTTTAGCCCAGCAAATTCCTGCGTCGTCAGCCCTGAATATATGCAAACTTCAGCTTCAACACTGACTCTCCCCTCCGCAACTTTACCTTGACCCCAAAGGACCTTTCTATTGTTACAATAGGTTTTACACGCTATGATATATTCTTTCGAGTCTTCCATCTGCGCTTTATTTTCTTAGTTGTTTTTCAGATGCAAAAAGGAAATCCAAATAACACATGTTTAATTGCTGTATGAATTTGCTTTGGCTGGCATCTTGTCCACACCAAAGCAAAAGAACCATGAAACGGCAACCAAAAAGAAACACACACATATATATAGATAGATAGATAGATAGATAGATAGATAGATAGATAGATAGATAGATAGATAGATAGATAGATAGATAGATAGATATATGGTACCCTCCCTCCAATACACACCCCAAGTGTGTTTTATACTGTAATTAAGACATCGAAGACTTGTGTGCCACATGGCGTGCTTGGGGTGCATGTGATCACGTCGATCACAGCTAATGCAAAGACGCAAGATGTGAGCAAGACAAAAAAAAATGAAAAAAAACAACAATTATAAAACATTATAAAACATGGAAAAAGCGCACCCCCACAGCGTCCCGCTCTCTTCCTAAAGTGGTGGGTGGGTTGAGAAAGGCCCCAAGAGGCAAAACAATGAAACACTGAAGCGTTCGATTGGTAGCGCTTGCGCTTGCGCTGGCGCTTTTGGGTGTTGTTGTTGATTTACATCGACCAAACCACTGCCAAGGGGAATCCTGTGAATCTAGTTCACATTCTATGGAACAGGAAAACTGTAGGATACCACTGGCTCCCTGGAAAGAATCACACACCTGGTCATATATCAGTTGCCTGCACCAGCGTTGTGCTTGTTCTTCCGCCTGCCTTGTTCCGGCCGCGGAGCGAGTTCCATCACCACCCTCTGCACCGTGGGCCGCTTCCGTGGGCACCTGCCAGACGTCTTGGGGAGCTCGGTGTCGACGCCAGATCCTGACCAGCTGGTGTCGGCCGAGCTATGGACTTTTCATGACCTTTCTGCTGGTTGCACTGCCCAGACAACATATACTGACCGTCGCGATTGAAACAAACGTTGTTTGAAGGGAAGGGTATATGCTGTATGCCATTTCTTTAAGTACCATCATGTACCAGCTGCTGTGGGCACACTCCAGCTGCCTGTGGGCCCAAAGAAAAGCCAGCTGTTGTCCGCAGCGAGTCCATTCACCCCTCTGTGCACCATGTGTCTCGACGATGATCGGAGAATCCGCGCGGCACCGCTCCATGTGTCTCGCTGCATGTGAAGTGTGAGTGTGCGTCCAAACTGCGTCCAGACCGGCACCCACCATGGCACCATCGAACCGAAACGGAGGTAGGCCAGGAGCCCTAGGGATTGAACACACTTGCGAACACCACAAGAAACGGCTGGTCAAAATTGTAGGCTTTGTGGAAACAAGTCCTACACATCCTGCGGTAGGAATGCTGCAGTACCTTATTCCTTCTTTTAAGATTTTGAAGGCACAAAGAACTTCACAAATCACCAAGCAACTTAGGAACACACACACAGCAACAACGGATCAATCAAACAAAATCGAAACACGGGTTGACTAAAACCAATAAATCAACAACTACCTGAAACATGTTGAAACTGAACTAATTGTATAACAATGAAGGGCTAGAAGCTACTAGTAACAAGGGCATCATCGCAGATCTAGTGATTTCTAGTAGCTAGAAGCTCACTAGAAGCTACTAGTACACTAGTAACTGTTTCTGCTCCTTTCCCCCCAGTTTTCCCTCGCAGTCCCGATGCCAGCGGCTTCCACGGCTCGTGCGTCGCCTCGGCGCTGCGGTGCGGCGGGGCAGACGACTCATCCGTCCTTCTTCCCGTGCGGTCGTGGAGACGAAAGAACGTGATGGGTGAATTGGTTCATTGGGTTATAGAACCTCATATCATATCAAAATATACCAGCACCACCCAGTTAGGGTGGTGATGGAAAATACATCTTCACGGGGGTTTATACACCACCCTTTGGGTTTTTGAATGCATTTTGACGTGTTTTATGAACTTTTCAGGCATCTTCCGATTTGGAGATTTCCTGTATGGAGGGAATTCACAGATCAGGAATTGTCTGCATCAGAGAGAAATGATGCAGCTGCCATTTCTAATGTCAAAGCGAAAGTAACATACAGTCCATGTATGCTATATATATATATGCCTACATTGACCCCTCAAACCACCCCAATGTATGCAAATGTGCCATACATGGAGTGTCTGGGATATCTCCGGCCACCAGCCGGGATTTCAGCTTAAGGTCGGTTCCAGCTTAGGGTCGGTTTTTACGCAATGAAGGCGAGATCTGCTTGCCACAGAAAGGAGAAGAATCGGCGAACACGGACAGTTTCCAGCACACCATGATGTCGGTCATCAGATGCAAAACCTTACTACAAACGGAAACGATACTAGTAAATCAAGGTGGATCAGGGACCATTGTATGTCCAGTGATGAACTTTGGACTGTTAGCTGGGGGCTTAGCCAAAATCACAACCCTGATACTGATACCAAAGGGTCTTCTCTGGCCTGATTATCAACCAACACCTTCTCTCAGCCAACATCACATCTCGGACACTCCCTTCACCACTCCCTTCACAAGGGTAGTAATATATATATATATATAAAAGCTCCTCGCAAACACCAGCTCCACGTGTAGATTCTGATCCCAGACACGACCGGTCTGGGACTGCCATAAGACTGCCGATCAGTTGGGGTGGTTTGAGGGGTCAATGTAGGCATAAATACCCTAGGCATCCAAGCACCTTCTCAGAAGATACGACTGGACCCTCCTGGCACCTACATAACAGTGTCAAACACATCACCATACCTGAGAAGGCACTTGGGTCCCTAGAAATGATGTTTATTTGTAGCTTCAGCTTGTGTAGCTACGTAGAGGCTGCCAGCACCTGGCCATGTCAGGGTACTTGGATCCCTATAGGGATATATATAATTATATATATAATATATGGCAGTCCCATTAGTCGTATTTGGGGATGGCTTGGACACCCACCCGCTACCTGAACTCGCTCCACGTGGACCGGTCCATCGTACCGGAAAACTGCCCTTCCGATACCAACACCCAAGGCACCCAAGTGCCTGCAGCCCCGTGGGTAGCGTTCTTGCTCCTAGTAAGGCCAGACCTGAATTCATCCTGATTTCATCTTCGCCATCTCCCCCTGAACCAGACTGAAACCAAACAACCCAGGATGGTGCGGTGGAAGTCGATCAGCACCAGTGGTCTCTTTCCTCGATGGCCGTCCCGGATGGTCAGTGGTCAGTGGTCATGGCCCAGTCACTGGGAACAGGCCAGTGAGCGTAGCGCTTGCGCCAGCGGCCTTCAAGGCCCTGCTCTCTAAGCCTGACTTTCTGGCCCAAGGGTTGCCTGAAGTCTGCTTCACCCCTGCTTTCTTTGAGTTTGGGTTTGCCCAAATCACATGGGCAGGGACAATCTAACGTTATACCTCCAGAAGCTGCATTTGCATTGGCAAAGAGGAATGCAGGGGTGATGTTGACAGGTTTCGAGTCAGCTCAGAGAGCGACCACGCTCTCCGTGCTGCTCAGGTGCCGAATGAGGTGATGATGCTACAGCGGCGTTGTAACAAATCATTGATGGAAGCGGATTGGGCGATTCTCCCACGGTCGACCGATGTGACCATACCTGGGTGCATTTGGCGGTAAGGCGCTGAGAGCTGTATCGGTGCAAGCAGAGCATGGCTACCAAGTTGTTGCATGTCCTTGAAGGCCTGGGTCGCAGCGGAGAAAACCTGATGCATTTTCAGTGGGATCCGTGTTGATCGATATATATATATGTATGCTTGCAGGATCTTGCAGGTATGAGTGCTCCGGATCCTTGATCCTTGTAGGATGAGA